GCTTCCACGAGCCGTCGCCCTCGGCGCAGACCTCATCGCCTTCCCCGAGCTCGCGCTCCACGTATAACCGCCTGAAGACCTGCTGCTGAAGCCCATTTCATTTCGGAAACTCGAACGCAGTCTTCCTTATTGCCGCCGAAGCGGGGAACATCTCTGCTCGTAGTCTATACATAGACTCCGACTCCGACATATACAACGCACCTCCCTAATCCCGACGCGAGATTGTCGCTCTTACCGCAAGATTTACCTGCCCATCGGGGTTTTCGCGAAGACCTTCTACTCGCGCAGGGAAGCGAATGTTCCTGTATATACCGTCCCGGCTCGCAGTTGGCGTCAACATCTGCGAAGAATCTGTATGGTCCCCGGCCCGCATTTGTGCTGGCTAGCCGCCGGCTCCGGACTCATCGTGAACATCACGTCTTCACCCTTCACGCAGGAATCGCGCCTTCCGTGAAAGATGCTGGCAACCCGCGCCTCTGACATGGCCTTTTCGTCGCCTATGTGAACTGTGGTTTTGGCGACTGGATGATCTGTATCGACGGGCGCGAGCATAATCTTCGGGACCCGACGGCGAAGTCGTAGCATCGGCGGGCAGTTAGACGAGGAGCAGATTCTCACTTGCCGACCTCGACGTCGAAGCGGTTTTCACGTGCCCGCGTGCCCTGCGAGAGACCCCTCGAGCACCCGCAGGAACGCGCACCACGACTCAGCGCCCACATCGGGCAAGCCCATCCAGGCATCGCCGTGTATCAGACTACGCTGAGACACGCCAAGCCCGACGCTTCAGTCCGAACGACGCCCTGTACCATGCGACGTACGCCCAGCCGCTCGCGAGACAAGCCGAAGTCTATGCCGCGACTCCACACGAGCCCTCGGCTACGCGCGATATGTACGAAGTTGCGGCTTCGGCAGGTGCGCATCGCCCTATCGGCGCATAGACATCCACGCTGTCGCGCAGTCAGCGGCAGACGCTCTTGGCAGCGACAAACGTGGTATGGCATCGCATGCCTTCGCGATTTCGTCGAAGGCAGTGTACTTGACGCATGGCGCTTGCCGACAAATGGCATAGATCTTTGGACACTTCGATGAGGAGACGCGTCAGCGCTACATCGGCACTCGGGGTCTGGGCGCCAAAAGTTTTCGGGGACGGAGGCGGTTGGTTGCTGAAGAAACTTGCAGTCCCGCATACGGGCAACCTGCTAATGGCTGTCTCGAACAACTTCACCTGGCCCGTCCTCACCACCGGCAACAAGAGCGACGTATCGGCTACCGTGAGATGCACGCTTTTACTGGCGACATGGCAGAGGATACGCCGTATCCAGGTGTGCCCACGAACTCGTTATGAGCTATGCCGATAGCCGCAGCAACCACCGGCGAGACGCCCGTCATACCACACATGAGCGTCATGAGACAAGCCCCCAGCGCCGAACTTCGCACCGACCAGAAGACGACGACTCCCTTCCGCCGTCCTACAGCGATCCTGTGACCCATCCTCAAGGCGTACGTGGAGAGACTACTAGTGGTCGATCGACCTCGTTGCAAGGAGGCTACGACCCCGACCTGTCGATGAAACACATCATACCTCGTTGACCGCAACGAGTACAAGCGCCGCCAGTCTCCCCACCTGGAATCAATCACGCCTCGAACTTCGGCGCGACGCCGCATGCCCATCGCAGACGCTTACCGCCCGTTCTAAGCCGCGTAGAGTTTGCTGTCGCCATATCCAACCGGTCTGGCATCCACTCGCATCTGCAGCGCGACTGTCCGCAGCGGTGCCGACCGACAGCAGTGTCCGCTGCTGCCCACCACATCGCCCGTCAATCATGATTGGCTGCCAGCCACGAAATCATCGCCGGTCGTTCGTTGCCGGGAATGATGCCGAGATGTCTGCGTCCGCGCCCTCACTGCAAATGCCCCTTGTTCGGCAGTCCCAGCATTCTCGCTGGGTCAACGACAGCGTTCGTCGTCCATCTCCAGTGGGTGTCAGCGCATTGAACTTCACCAGCGCCATGCTCGACTGTATTGCCACATTTCGAGGATGGCAGCCGCCGTCCGTGCTGACCGCGTTCACTATGAACTCGCCTTGTGCGTTCTTTGCAGTAGTAAGCTTGTACGCAGTGGACGGCAGGTTCACGGGGAAGCTCATGCCCACCTGCGTATTCGCGCTCTCATACAGCACCAGTGCCTCCTTGCCCTTCAGGTACACCACATGCCCGCCGCGCTGGCCGATGACTGAGGCATAACCGTCAAGTATTGCCTGCCCCATTCCCTCGCGGGTCGGGGTGTATCCACGCATCGCCAGGCAGTTGCGCGGCACATTCGCCTGCACATTCCCGTCAGCGTCACAGCTGCCGCTCGTCCCGTTCTGTATCGCGTGGTAAACCTCCGAGTTCAGCTGTCCGCTCAGATTTTCCAGTATCGCCAGTGCCTCGTCGCACTCCTCATCGGCTTCTTCGATAACTCCCCGCATACGAGTTCACATGGCAGACGTGCAGCCGCCCGTTGCCCACCAACTGCGGTATCTCGCGCACGCCGCCCAGATGACTGCCCGACTCCCGCGTGCCAATGTGAAACGCGACATAAGCCTGCTGGTCGTTGCAGGCGTGAATCACGTCCGAAGTCGCCTGCGGGCTGAACGGATGATAGCCGCCAAGTATCTTGATGCCAAAGCATCCCTGCCGCAGCGCGCCAGCAACGATGTCTCGTGCCTCCACCGGCGACGGCTCACCCGTCGGCATGGTAGCCCCCGGAATCAAGGCGTACAGCCCGGCTACATTCAGTCCGGCCCCTCTGCGCTTGATGCCGTCCACGAGGCTAGACCCTGTGCCGCCCATGTCCAGTACGGTCGTAGTGCCAGCCCGCGCAAGCATCGCGTAGCCTAGAGCCGGGTCCCAGTTGCGCGCGAGTCCAGCCCACATGCGCGTGCGTATCAATCTGTCCAGGCATGACCCACCGCCCTGACACATCGATAATCTCTTCGCCGTCGAATGGGTCAAGTTCGGGAGCAATCCTCGCAATCATCCCCGCCTTCACACCAACATCTGCCACATCTTCAAAGCCATTCGCCGGGTCTAGCACGGTTCCACCGCTCAATATCAAGTCGTACTTTGCCATATTCGTTCCATCCAATTCTGCCCATGTTTCTGTCGGTGTTAGCTTCCATTCGTTATGTTACACTGACATCCGATAACTGAAAACCGACCACTGAAGAATGTGCTGGAGGTTCAATAAGTGAAGATTGGAGCGATATTCCCACAGACCGAGATAGGCAATGACACAGGTTCAATCCGCGAATTCGCGCAGTCAACGGAGTCGCTGGGCTTCGACTTCCTGCTCGCATTCGACCATGTGCTCGGCGCAAACGCAGAGACGCATACCGACCTGACAGGTCCCTACCGCCACACCGACGCCTTCCATGAACCCTTCGTGCTCTTCGGCTACCTCGCTGCAATAACCAGCAGAGTAGAACTTGCCACCGGCATCATCATTCTGCCGCAGCGCCAGACGGTGCTAGTAGCGAAGCAAGCCGCCGCCGTTGACGTGCTCAGCGGAGGACGCCTGCGACTAGGCATAGGCGTAGGCTGGAACCATGTGGAGTTCGAAGGTCTCAACGAGAACTGGCGCAACAGGGGCGCCCGCTCCGAAAGAGCAGATTGATGTTATGCGCCAACTCTGGACTAACGAACTCATCACATACGATGGCCGCTGGCACAAGATTACCGACGCTGGCATCCTTCCCCTGCCGGTGCAACGCCCCATACCAGTATGGCTCGGGGGCAGCTCAGACCGTACCGTTCGCCGCATCGTCAACATCGCAGACGGCTGGATTCTCACCGGACGCCCCGATGACCGCGCCAAGCACTTAGTGAACAGGCTCCACGCCTACGCTGATGAAGCCGGACGAGATGCGAGCAGCATCGGACTCGAAGGCTGGGTATCGGCAAGCATCGGCGGCCCCGACGATTGGGCAAAGGAAGCAGAAGGCTGGAAGGCGCTCGGTGCGACACACGTATCCATCAACACCATGCGCTCAGGACTGACTCGCCAGACGCTCATGTGGGACGCCATACGGCAGTTCAAGGATGCCAATTCGGGCGTGAACCAGCGTATTCGCATATAAACATGACGGTCAGCCACTTCAAGTAAGTTGGCTGACCGTTTTAGTTTTCAGATTTCAGCAGGACCAACCAGTTCTGACAATTGGAACAGATCACACAAAAGACTCTTCCAATACGGATTTCTGTCAGTTCACACAATGGACGTCTGTGCCCTTTCACAAATCCATGACGGGCTACTAAATGCGCTATAATTGGCATATAGCGTAACGCCAACAATCTGATCTTCTATAGTTTAAAGCACCCCATGCCAGCAAAATCTACCGACTCAAGCGAACCTCCCTCTACGACGACCACTGTCTCGCTCGGCGCTGCATCGTGCCGTATCGCGGGCTGGGCGATGCCATCAGTACGACACATACTTCTTCACAGGTAGGCGAGGCTGTCCGAGCAGCGTCGCCTGTTCGATGTTGCGCACATGGGTCAGGCTATGGCGATAAACGGCAGCGGCGCGGCAGCCCGCTCAGCGCGTGCTCAGCGTGCGGCGCACTATCCATGCGCCGCTTCCCGCGCGCCGCTACTGCCTCATCTGCAACGAAGAGGGCGGCATCATCGACGACTGCACATCGATCGCGATCGATATGGAGAAGAAGACTTTTTCTTCTCATCCCCAATGCCGCAAACACCGCTGCAGTTACTGACTGGTTGGACCGCTGGAACACGAAGCCCGATACAGTCAGCATCACCAATGTCACGCGGAAACGGCAATGATCGCAGTGCAGGGACCGCAATCGATCGCAATGCTGGACAAGCATGCAGCGGACGACTTGTCATCCGTTCTGCCATTTACAACCGTACGGACCAAACTGGACGGCGCGGATTGCATGCTGGCGCACACAGGTTATACAGGTGAAGATGGATTCGAGGCGATAGTGGCGGCAGAGGATGCCGGCCCACATCTGGATGACGCTGGTTGATGAAGGCGCCGCGTCTTGCGGGCTGGGCGCGCGCGATGTGCTACGCCTTGAAGCGGGCCTGCTATTGCACGGCAACGACATGAGCGTTGACACCAACCCTTACGAGGCCGGGGTGGGGCGTTTTGTGAGACCCGACAGACGCGGTTACGTCGCCAGAGAGGCTCTGCTGCGCGCGCGGGACGAGGGCGTCGAAAGATCACTTGTTGGCTTTGTAATGACGGGAAGAGGCATAGCGAGGCACGGCTACAACATTATGAGCGAAGGCCGTGAGATCGGCGAGGTCACCAGCGGCAGCCCATCCCCGTTGCTTGACAGAAACATAGGCTTGGGATATGTTCCTGCTGATTATTCGGCGGAGGGTACGCCCCTGCAAATCGACATTCGTGGGCGCCCCGTGGACGCCGAAGTTACCAGTTTGCCATTCTACATACGGAGTTAGAAACAATGACGCTTGACGCCCTTAAGTACTCGGAGGAACACGAGTGGGTGCGCCTTGAATCGGATGGCATTGCAGTCATCGGAATCACCGATTTCGCAGCCGAAAGCCTGGGCGACGTAGTGTTCGTCGAACTTCCCGAAGTGGGAGCCGAACTAGTACAGTTTGAGAAGATGGGTGAGATTGAGTCGGTTAAAGCAGTGTCCGACCTTTACTCTCCCGTGTCCGGAACGATTGCGGAGCGCAACGATTCCGTCATAGACAGCCCTGAACTGGTCAACGACAGTCCTTTCGATTCAGGATGGATGCTTCGAGTTAATCTCTCCGACAGCGCGCAATTGGACAACCTCATGTTCCGTAGCGAGTATCAGACGATGCTTGAAGCGCAGCCATAGCGCCCATCCTGTGGAATGGATCTGCCTCCCAACAGTGATGGGAACTCGATGTGAGGCGCGACATCACCGACGCTCCGCCAACGTATCTCGTCCAGAAAGCACGCACTCAGGCTGACTAACCGAAATAACTGTCAGCCGACGATCGCAAATGACCGACTCATACTTTACATCTCCCTATTCGCCAAACACCGATGCCGACAGACGCCAGATGCTAGATGCAATTGGCGTTGATTCGGCAGACGAGCTATTCATCGACGTTCCCGAGCAGCACCGCAACCCTGCGCTTGACTTGCCGCCGCCGATGTCGGAGTTCGACCTGAAGCGTTACTTCGCCGAGCTTGCATCGATGAACAAAACGCCCGGAGAGTACGCCTGTTTCTTGGCGCGGGTCGTACAGCATACATTCCGTCAATCGTGCGCCAGCTCACTAGCCGCAGCGAGTTCATGACAGCGTACACGCCTTACCAGCCCGAAATCTCGCAAGGCACACTCCAGACTGAGTTCGAGTTTCAGACACTCTGCGCCCAACTCACGGCATGGATGGTCGCCAACGCAGGGCATGTATGACGGCTCCACATCGCTCGCCGAAGCAGACGCTTATGGCGTCCACGTGTCACTCTGACGCAGCCGCATCGCGGTGTTGGATCGTCTCACCTGCGTACATCAGCGTACTCCGCACATATACCGAGGCGCAGGGCATCGTCATTGATGTCGTGAGTTCAAACAATCTGCACCTTTCCGAAGAAACGGCCTGCCTCGTAGCCCAGCAACCCAACTTCTTGGGCTACATTGAGGACATGCAATCCCTTGCCGACCAGGCCCACTCACTAGGCACTCTATTCGTGGCAATATGTGACGCGTCTCCATGGCAATGTTCACACCTCCAGGCGAGTACGGCGCGGACATCGTCGCGTCCGAAGGCCAGGCGCTCGGAGTGCCCCCAACATTCGGCGGCCCCTATGTCGGCATCTTCGCCTGCAAGCAGGATTTCATACGGCAGATGCCCGGGCGCATCGTCGGCAGAACGGTGGACACAGAGGGACGCACCGCTTACGTGCTGACGCTCCAGACGCGAGAACAGCACATACGCCGTGAGCGAGCCACCTCCAACATCTGCACATCAGTCGCGCTCATCGCCTTGATGACAACAGTCTACATGGTCAGCCACGGCAGGCACGACATGCGCCGCACCGCCGAACTGACATATCAGAAGGCACATTATCTGGCATCTCTAATAGCGATATTCCGGGATATTCTGTGTGGGATGGCGGCATCTTCTTCCAGGATTTGCAGTGCATATGCCCAGTGACACCGGCGCGCTCAATGAGCGGCTGCCTCAGACCACAGATAATCGGCGGTCTGGACATCAGCGACCGTCTGCCAATGGGATGCTCCTTGCGCCACTGAAGTCAAACACCCGTGAGGAAATCGACGCTTTCGCCACCGCGCTTGCGGAGATAGGCAGTTCAGATTGACCACGCTACTTGAAAGGCTGTCCAAAGACCGTCGTCGCTTGCTTATGGACCGCAGTGTCTCCGGCAGAGTCGGCGCAACTCCCCCGCAAAACGACGTCCCGCATCAGCCGTTGCCAGACGACGCACTGCTGCGCGACACACTGGAGTTCCCAGAGATAAGCGAGAACGAACTCGTGCGCTACTTCTCGCAGATCAGCCAGCTCAACTTCTCCATTGACCACAACTTCTATCCGCTCGGCAGTTGCACGATGAAGTACAACCCTAAGATCAACGATGAAGTCGCGTCGATCCCGGCCTTTGCCGACATTCATCCGCTGCAGCCGACGCACGGTTTCAGGGCGCTCTCAGACTGATGTGGGAGTTGCAGCAACGGCTAATCGAGATAACAGGGATGAAAGGCTGCTCGCTCGCGCCGATGGCAGGAGCAGACGGCGAGTTTGCCGGCATGCTGATGGCGCGCGCATACCACCTCGACAGGGGCGACACGGCGCGCAACAAGGTGCTCATACCCGACAGCGCGCACGGCACCAACCCCGCAACCGCCAGCATGTGCGGTTTTGAGGTCATCACTCTGCCATCCGATGCTGACGGCAATACAGACCTTGAAGCACTGCGCTTTTCGGTCGGCGATGATCTCGCAGGCTTGATGATTACGCTGCCAAGTACGCTGGGGGCTCTTCGATTCAAACATCCTTGAGGTAGTGCAGATCGTGCGCGACGCGGGTGGCGTTGTTTATGGCGATGGCGCAAACCTCAACGCACTCCTTGGGCGCGTCAAGCTCGGCGACCTTGGCTTCGACGTGATGCACTCCAACCTGCACAAGACTTTCACGCAGCCTCACGGCGGGGGCGGCCCCGGTGCTGGTCCCGTCATTGTCGGTGAGCGCCTGATGCCATACATGCCAACGCCCGTAGTGAGCCGCAGGGTCGATGCAGATGGTAATGAGCAATACACTCTGGACGCGCCGCCAAAGACCATCGGCAGGATGGGCGCGTTCAACGGCATTTCGGGGCGCTCGTGCGCGCGCTATGCTTACATCACGACGCTTGCGACGAAGGCATAGCCAACATCAGCCGAAGACGCCGTCATCACACGCATAACTATCATCCTGAGTCATACTCAAGGGCTACTACGATCCTCACAGACAACCGCACATGCATGCACCGATAGTAGTATTTTCGGCGCGAAGACAAAATAGCATGAAACAGCTGGAATCATCCAAAATTTTGCCGAAAGTCAGCGACGTAACTAGAGACCCCGCTTCTACACGTCAGCAAAAACAACAGACTTGACATAAAAAACAAATGATCGACTACGGCATCCATCCTCCCACTGATACTTCCGCGCTCATAGGCGAGAAAGCATGATGATCGAGCCGACGCGAGACGAGAGCAAAGAGCACGCTCGACTTCTTCATCGAGGTGATGCAGGCTGATAGCGCAAGAGGCTCAGGACGACCCCGACTTGCCTGCACACGCAGCCTCACGACTCGCACAACATCGACGCCCTGACGAGGCTGCGCGGCACTGCGTCCATAACTGCTGATGGCGGCCCGCGATAGTGATAACAATATCGGTGCTTCACGGCAAGCAGCGCGCCAAAAAGTCAATATGCTAATAATAGGAGATGTGAGTAAAGACAATGGTGATCGTAAGGACTATGTGCGCCGGAAATCTTCACGGCTGTCCGGCACAAGACATGAGCAATATAGAACCCTGACGCGACTACAGAGGCGACTAAGCGGCGTCTTGTCGTTCCACAGATTCTCGTTTACAGGTGGTTGAGAACGGACAATGTCACCGCGATGCGCAGCTACAATGCTGACTTGCGAGGAGCAGAATGCCCAGGTTATGCATCAGCTGCGACGCCCGTTCCGTCCCAGATCCGCGTATTCGCAACATGAGCTAGGCACTTGCGTACCCGACTGCTCGCGGACTTCCATCGTCCAGTGGAGGATGACGCAGGTTTATGCATTTTCACGACAGAGCGCACGGTCGCACCAAACCGCGCATCTTCACTGACAACGACAAGAGAAGGCTGTCATTCGCTTAAGCGCCTATATGACAGCGCAAGCGATCACGATCCACAGGACATCATCTACAGAAAACTCGAGCAAACGCTATCTAGGCGCAACTGACAGGACGACGACGACTGCGCCTGTCCGACATATCTTTCATGAAGGCGAACACTGCTCTCATCATGACCTGGCTTTTTTGGCGGTTTGGGATCTCGTCGTTATCTGGCAGTCTTAATGCAGGCAGGCTCTGACGAGTTCGAGTCGCATCTGCGGCGCCTACGACATTGTTATGACGTGTATCGGACAGCGCGACACCGTGCTCTGTGGATCCTATAGGACTGACGATATCGAGGCCAGACTTGTAGCTGCTCGCGGTGCAAGCCCATCTATGGGAGACATTAGTGTGCGTGGACATGCCCACGAATTGCCACTGTGGTGGATACCCGATTAAGACCTAGGCACCATTCTAGTATGCGGACTAGTTCCTCGTAGTCCTCTATGGTCGTACATCTCCTTTTGTCTAGCTGTTTTTATTTCTGTCCCCGGTGCGCGTGTGCTGGAGGCGGGCTCTGGGAGCGGTTTGCCTGCAAGGACTATGGCGCTGCTTCGAGCCCGTCGGCTGGAGCGCGGTTCGCATGCTGTCTCAGTGATGATGTGGCCAGCCAGGACACATGATGACGCACGCGCTGCGCGAATGTGAGCGCGATGCTCTCTCACCAGCCTCCAACTCACGCTGAAGCTGGGCGACGTGTACGAAGGCTTTGAGGAGAACGAGAACTGCGACCGCGTTGTGCTAGACTGCCGGAGCCCCTGGCATGGGTACACGCATGCCTCAGAAGCGTTGCTGCCGGCGGCATATTCGTCAGCTTCTCGCCACCATCTTGCAGGTTCACGAAGTCGTGAGAACCATTGCGAGCGGTGCATACCTTTGAAATGCTGGAGACGATGGAAGGTCTGCAGCCCTGGAATGTGAGCATATGCAGCGTAGGACCGGAGCATGGATGGTCAGCACAAACTGGATTCATCCACGATAGGCCGGAAAGTGTGTCGCCACGTTTTTTTTTTTTTTTGGGGGTTTTTGGTTTTTTTGGGGGGGGGGGAGGGGGGGGGGGAAAACCAAAAAAAAAAAAGGGGGGGGGGCGTGGGGGGGGAAAAACAAAACAGGGGGGGGGGGGGGACAGGGGTTTTTTTTGTGTTTTTTTTTCGTTTCCCCCTTTTTGGGTTTTTTTGTTTTTGGTCTTGGGTTTTTTTTTTTTTTTTTTGCCCCCAGGCGCGTCAACGTTGCCCTGCGCGAAATAGTCGAATGTCATGCTGCACTCGTCCCACAGTAACAACGGCGTTACCAAGAGGTAAGCGGAAAGCGCTCCTTTTCAAATGATTATTGAATTAGAAGAAACTATTAGAGGCACTGTGACGGTCAGTAAGCGATCGGCGCGACTGCATGGCCTGTTGGAGGGCGCACATACCAGCTGAATCTGAGCTAAATCGGAGGAAACGCCGGTCGCTTTTCTCTTGGAATCAGCACCTTGAAGCGCCAAGTCCTTCAGGCTTCACCAGCTCCCGCGCATCGACATGAGATTGGCGTTCCGCTCATACTCGGGCATTGCGAGTTTCCCTGTCTCAGGGAGAGGAGCAGGTCATTTAATACCCGAGCACTTGGAGAGAAGCTCGGCCTGCGTCATGTTATGCCAGCGTGTTCAACCACTGCAGCGTAGCCCTCGGATGCAGACAGAGAGCCACCTGCGCGCTTGGTGATGTCCTGCCGCGCCAATGCGTGGCTGATAGGGGCTGCTTCCTCCGTAGTGCCGATGGAATAGGCTCTGAAGTGTGCCAAACCGTACGACGTTGCGAGTACAGCTCAGCCGCTTCAGAACCAGTAATCGATTGTGATGACGAGCCCTTATCGAGCGCGACGCGCCACATCGTCGAGCCAAGGTTTGATCTGTAAATTCACTTCGCCGCAATGCCTGTCCTCAAGCGCAAAGCCCAATCCGTCAAGACGCTCATTCAGGGTCGGCGTCGATGGCTCGACAGTATCTCTATGAATTGCCGTCTTTATCGAGAGCGACATATACTTCGAGCGCTTCCCGTCCGGACATCTGAAACCGATGGACGGGTAATGCGTCAGCGAATTCGTTGGATATAAAAGCAGCCAACCACATCGCTGAGTGGCCAAAGTATCCGCAATCAAGCCGTTCGATATGCGGGGGCATCTCCGCTCATTCCGCGATTCGCATCATCAGAGAATATCGTTCGATGCAGACGTATCTCAGTTATGGGCAAACTCATCGCACAGTTCTTCGGCAGCGGCGCAAATGTCGTTGGCAAGCAGTCCATTCCCTGCGCCCATCTCGACGACGGTGTGAAATCGGAAGGACTGCCCAAGCGCATCCACATGCACTGGAGCTGCACAGCAAGCAGTGCGCAGCCGAATGCCGGATGACGACTGCAGGCTGGTGTAGAAATCACCGGCCGCGCCAACGCTTTCGCTGGTGTAGTAGCCGCCAACAGGATGATACAGCGCCATTTGCATGAACTCTGCAAACGTGATTCTAGCCCGTTGCCTGATGCGTTCCTTATCGCCTGCTCGCTGCCGTGGCTCATTCATATCGTGATAGACAGAAGAAAAGGGACACCATGATTAAATGATGTCCCTTTCCATGTGTGTGGAATCTGTATTAATTCTAGGTACTGGTCTTGGTATGGAATTGACTGCGCAGCCTCCTATTTCGAGAACCCTGCCTGTCCAGCCCGAACTTGAATGGAATTGTTGAACTCGCGACGCTCGCCACAGCGCTTGCAGTGCGCCTACGCTCATGGGACCGTTTGGGCTTTCAATGCCAGTGGTGCGTACAATCTGTAGTCTCGGCAGTCTCTTGTGTCATCGCCCAATCCTTTCATTCAACGAATGTCCTATTCTCAGGGATTCTACTGAGTTTCACCTTTGATCAATGGGAACGTACTCCACATCCATTCCCCGACATATAGCAGCCTGGGGCGCAGAAGAATGTTGTTATCGAACTGCTCCATGACCTGCACGGTCCAGCCGGGGATGCGTCCCATAGCAAAGATGATATAAACAGGTCCTCAGGAATGTCAAGCAAGTAGTAGATTGCCCCGGAGAAGAAGTCCACATTCTGGCAGATGCCGCGCCTCGAATAAGGCTCCATACTTTAGCAACTGCTTCCAGAATGGAATGACCATCCTGGCTGTTCCCTTGCGAACACCCAAATCGCGGGCATCGTCCATCAGGTGTATAGATCGTGGGTCCACCGCCTTATAGACTCGGTGTCCGAAGCCCATTACTCTACCACCCTTGCTGCGAAGGTCGGCTACATATGCTGCGGCATTGGATTCGTCACCAATTTCCAGCGCCATCTTCATAACTTCTTCGGCAGCGCCCCCGTGTGAAGGGCCCTTCAGAACTCCGACTCCTGTGGTAACCGCGCAATGCAAGTCAGCCTGCGTTGATGCCGTAACTCTTGCGCCGAAGGAAGACGCGTTGATGCCATGCTCGGCGTGCAGGATGAAGTCTTTGTCCATGAGTTTGGCATCCCGAGGATCAGGCTCCTCACCAAAAAGCATGTACAGGAAATTTACTGGCGTGGCTCAAGCTGCTATTGGGAGCGATGGGCTGCTTGCCCTCGCGTATGCGTGCGTGTGCTGCAACTATCGTGGACGCCTGTGCCGTGAGTCTGATGCCTTTGCGAAGCGTTGCCTCTGCAGAGTTGTCTTCAGTATCCGGGTCAAATGCAGATAGTGCTGAAACAGCGGTGCGAAGCACATCCATCGGATGAGACTTCTGAGTGATGCTGATGACGCTCAACACCTCTTCTGGCAGTGCGCGGTTGGCTCTGAGCTCCGCATCAAAAGCGTCCAACTGTTCGCGGTTGGGAAGTTCGCTATAAAGCAGTAGATAGATGGTCTCTTCAAAGGTGGACTTAGTGGCCAAATCGTCTATGTTGTAGCCTCTGTACAGAAGCTTGCCGACGTCGCCATCAATGAAACTGGACCTGGTTCGGTCTATAAGCACATCCCGAAGGCCTCTGTGAATCTGGACCTTCTGCTCAGTTGCCATACGATACTCCTCCCAGGTCAGATTTTGCGTTAATTCGCTGGTCTTCTAGCCCCACTTAAGGCACTATAAGCTGAGCCAATTTTAGCATTAGGCTCACTGGAGTGTCAAACATTCAGCACATGAAAAGTTGTAGTCTGATGGCGTCTGCGCTATCCTATACGCGTGGCAAAAAGGCAAGTTACGGGCGTGTTCAACCGCCTATTTCAGGGAGTTGGCAGAACAAGATGAGCAATCAGCAAGTGCAAGAATACAAGGGCGTAATGGTGCTCCCGGGAGAGCAAGATGAGCGTAAAGTATCGCTTTCCCTTAACAGAGAGACACCGTCTGTGGACATACGCTTCGATGAACCGATAGAGGGTGAAATGGAGTGGCAGGCGCAGAATCTCACCGTCGCCAACCGTCTGAAATACGTTGAGTTCGTGTTTACCACGACTGGATTGCCTAAAGAGGCGATCGGCGTAACATGGAAGTTCAACAGCAGCCTGATCGACGAATCGCTTGCGGGCGTAGTTATTGCGCAACCGAACGACCAGCGGATTCACGGGCGAAAAGGGCTTCGTACTCACGCGAGCGGACTGATCGACTAGCGCTTCAATCGGAGCTCTGATGCTCCACAGAAGTTCAGAAAAGCGCGCGAGTCATTCCACAACCAATGAATGAGTTGCTGACTACTGCTCCTCTTCTGGTGGGAACAGTAATGTCCGATTGTTTCGTATGCCTGATCGTTAGCAAGCCCCATGACTACGCCGGCTCTTGCATCGCGGAAGTACCGCTCGAATGGCAGTTCACGGGCAAACGCCGTGCCGCCGAACATCGTCATCAGGTCCTGCGTAACCCGTACGGCAAGTTCCGAGCATATCACCTTCGCCTGAATGTAGGGCAGCAGCGACGGCGATCTGCCTTCGTCCATCATTGACGCAGCCACGTGCAGGAACGCCCGCGCCGACTCTATCTGCGCGCTCATCTCAGCGATACGACGCTGGTTGATAGGATTGTCCAGACGCCTTGCGCCACTTGCAAAGCGCCTATCGCCCTCGATGCACGCAAGTTCGATATGCGCCTGACGCGATGCCTAGGTATGCCGCTCCATAAGTGAGAATTAGCACCGGCATCATGTATTTGGCCATGACCGGCTCTTTTTCGCCTTCAAGCTCGATCCCGAGAAGGTTTACTTCGGGCACAATACCATTGAAGACCATCGGGGCGCTGCAATTGCCCCGCATGCCAAGTCCGTCCCATTCGCCGACGGTCTTCCATTCCACTTCATCGGCCTCAATCATGAGCAGGTCAGGCGGGCCGGCCATTCGTCCACCTTCAACGCGGCAGAACATTATGTAGTGTGATGCGTGCCCCGCGGAAGTAACATAGGACTTACGAATGTTTTCGAGCCTGAAACCGCCGTCAACAAGACGGCAATGGGACATCCGGAGCAGACACCGGCCGCCAATCCCTGCCCTGATTGGCCACGCGATTCGCCACCGGCGGCAGCCGCAAAGACCTCGCCTCTTGCAAGTGGCTCGACGAACCGCTTCAATTGCAGCGCTGTCGGTATGCGGCTGACCGCTTCCACCGATTCCAGGTGCATCTTGTAGCACATGGCAGTAGAGGGGCACTTCTTGGCGATTTCCTCTACGATGAGACATGTCGTAACCATGTCTCCACCAAGCCCGCCGTGCTCTTTGTCCACGCGCAACGCCCACAGGCCCAATTCACCCAGCGCATCCAAAGATTCCTGGGGGAACTGCGCCTTCGCATCGTACTCTGCGGCGCGCGGCGCAATCTCGCGCTCAGCAAGCTGAGCAACGCGCTCTTTCCACTCTAGTTGCTCATTCGTCAAGTGATAGTAGTTCATCTACGCCCTCTGAAACGGCTTGATTGTGATGCCATTAGCAGACTAATTCCAAGCGGGCTTTGTGTCAATGTAACTTTCGGAGAAGGGCTTGTCGCAGGACCAACAGGACTGGCCAAAGACTGAAATAGCGTGAGTCGCCTAGGGAATCAAAAAGGTAAGTATAAATGGGGAGCAATGCTTATCGCAAAGCGACAACCACGCGACCGGAAGGCGCGGGGAAACCAGGGCCGGCGTCGATTTCAGAATGCAATCACAATGCAATTTGGAAAGTTGTTCAGAGATTTGGAACAGGACATTCAACCATCTGAGACCTGCTCGCCCGATTATAACCGGCTCCAGGCCCTTTATCCCCGCTTGCTTAAATTTTATTCAATAATATCTGGCCGAGCGCGGAATTAGCGTAGGCATGAGCGCATAAAACGGGCTGCGGACTAGAACGGACGGATTGAAAGCCAAGTTGCGAGCGCCAAGCCAATGAACAGGTACATTAAGCTGAAGGCTGCGGGGAATGCGGTAGTAAGAGGTACCGACGCCACAAATACGGACGCTGCGCTTACGAGCTTCAGTTTAGTGCCTCGCTTGCGATTGGTTGAAAGGCTTACTGCCTCGCCGATGGCGAACCCGATGGCTGCCAGCACAGCAACATACACGAATGGCAAGACAGTATTAAGTAGCGGATTGCCGAGAAATACCAGTCTAAAGAGCACCGGAGCCGCGAACATGAACGCACCTCCCCCGATCAACCCAACTGCGCAGCCCGCCGCAATCCCTCTGATGAGATACTGAAATGTGACGTCATAAGTGGGCACGGGGTTGACGCGGGCGCAGTCGGGACAGCGCATGCCAACGGGAGAATGCACAAGGCAATCGGGGCATATGGTCTCCTCACACCTGCCACAGCGTATGCTGGTCGCAGTCTTGGGGTGTCGGGCGCAATACTGCGTTTGTGTCATTAATCTGATGCCTCTGAAATATCTGCGGTTGGGGTCCGATCTGTCCAGTCTTCCCGTTTGGGTACATCCCTGTCCCATAGGATACGACAGATTAGCGTTTGAAGAACAGACTGCTCGACGGACAGCCTCTCCCAGTTCGCTGTCAAGCGCTTGGCGGCAAGCAGAACGCCTATGAGCATGCACATCAAGACAACCTCCGTCGGTCTGCCTGCGAGTCCCGTGACGCTGACGGCTATGGCGGTAATGGGCAGCGCAATCAGCGCAACGAGCGTCAGCAAGCTGGTGTCTTTGAGCACGAATCGGCCTATGCCAGCAATCAGGATCGTCGCTATCAGCGCTTCATACCACAGGGCGAACCCGAGCATTACGCCACCTGCGGTTCCCACGCCGCGACCGCCAGTGAAGCGAATAAACGGCGACCAGTTATGACCTGCCACGGCAGCAAGACCTACTGCCACCTGCACTCCAAGGCCGGCGTCGAGTGCGCGCGCCAGAAATACCGGCAATATCCCCTTGCCGATGAGGTCGAACAGCCCTATGGCAACTCCTGCCTTCGCCCCCAGATGCGCGAGTGCGTTGGACGCTCCCACATTGCCGGAGCCGTAGCTGCGAATGTCGATTCCCGCAACAAAGCGGGCAACGAGGTACGCGGTGGGAATGCCGCCCAAAAGGTAGGCAGCAACGATCAAAACGCCGTCCGTGACGGTCATTTCGCTGCTGTCGCCCTAAGAGTGTAGAGCGATTCTACGCTGGACATTGGAGGCCCGACGGTGCCGGGCTCGGGTTCGTCGGGATTGCCGAGTGCGTGATAGTCACTACCGCCGCAAGGGATGAGGCCGAAGTCGTCCGCTAGACCTCGTAACCATTCCACCTGCTCAGGCGTATAGTCGCCGTAATAGACCTCCATTCCAACCAGACCTGCCGCTTTCAGCTCGCTCAGTATTTCAGGCAAAGAGGATACGCCCTCGCGGTCGGACTTGGCGGCGGAGTAGGTGGGATGCGCAATTACGGGCAGCGCTCCGTGCTCCACAAGCAGACGCACGGCGTCCTCCGGGAGCAGCTTCGGGCGTTCGACGTAAGCCGAGCCGTTGCGTCCTAGGTACTTGTCAAATGCGTCGCGCGGGTACTGCACATAACCTGCTTCCACCATCGCCTGCGCGATGTGAGGCCTGCCGATTGACGCATCACCCGCAATCTGCTGCACGCGATCCCAGGATATGGCCACTCCCATGCCATTCAATTTCTCGACCATTCTTTCCCACGGTCTCCCGACTGACTGCGAAACTCTGCAAGAGTCGATGTAGAGAGAGTCGTCGTGATCATACAAAGTATCGAGGATATGAATCTCGCTCCCCGGCACATTGTACTCAGCTCTATGCCAGGTATTAAAGTCATTTGAGGGTACGCAGCAGCAGCTCGACCGCTTCAGGTAAGCCAGTGGTGGTAGTCATGGTCAGCTGATGCAAATCACCTTCAGCCCTCGCTCGGCGCACAGCGCAACGAGTTGTGTAGGCGTAGAGTTCCGTCAGAGAATGACGTATGTAGGTGTAGGTCCACTCGATAGGATGCACAGTTGTTTCTCTCCGTTAACACTTTGATATCTGATTCTGTGAACTTAATGCAAAGAGACCGACTTCAGGATTAAGAAAACCGCCAAGGGCTTGAAAGCAACCTTGGCGCGTCTTTAATGCCTATAAATCGCAGGTTGAACAATGCTACCGAGCGTATCCGACTGAACGGCTTTCCCGAATTACGGTTACCTTTATCTGTCCGGGATAGACGAGTGTCGCCTCGATCTTCTTCACGATGTCGTTGGCCATCTTTGCCGCCGTCGCGTCGTCAACGGCTTGTGGCTTGACCATTACGCGCACTTCGCGGCCCGCCTGAATAGCGTAGCACTTCTCCACGCCGTCAAATGCGCGCCCGACTTCTTCCAAGCCTGGAGACGCTTGATGTAATTCTCTGCGGTATCCCTACGCGAGCCGGGGCGCGCTGCGCTGATTGCGTCCGCGGCCGACACGATGAAGGCTTCGGTTGAACTCATCACATCGTCGTGGTGCTCGGCGATGCAGGTGCACACCGCCTTTGCGACGCTGTGCTTTGATGCGATATCCGCGCCTATTTCGGCGTGTGGTCCCTCGACTTCGTGCGATAAAGCTTTGCCAAGGTCGTGCAGCAAGCCGCCAGCCATTGCAACTTTCACATTGGCGCCCACCTCTGAAGCAATCATGCTCGATAGGTGCGCCACCTCAATGCTGTGCTGCAGGACATTCTCGCCGTAGCTGTAGCGATACTTCAAGCGTCCGAGCAGCCGAACAATGTCGGGATGCAGCCCGCGGACGCCGACTTCGAGAGCGGCTTCCTCACCACTCTTCCAAATAAGTTCTGAGACTTCTTTCTCAGACCTGCCCACCATCTCCTCGATGCGGGCCGGATGTATTCTTCCGTCGGACACCAGATTGGTCACAGCTAGGCGGGCGATCTCTCTGCGTACGGGATCAAAGCAGGAAAGCGTTACCGCCTCCGGGGTGTCGTCTATGATGAGGTCCACCCCTGTGGCCTTCTCGATTGCGCGTATATTGCGTCCTTCACGGCCTATAAGACGACCTTTCATGTCGTCGCTGGGGAGTTGCACTGTGGTGACTGTGGCTTCGGAAACCACATCAGCCGCGAACCTGTGAATCGCAAGGGCGAGGATATTGCGAGCCTTTTCGTTGGCTTCTGCCCTCGCCTGCTCTTCAAAGTCGCGGTAGCGGATTGCAAGATCGTGCTCGATTTCCTGCTCGGCGCTGTACATCAGTTCGTTGCGAGCGTCGGACATGGATAACTGACCAATTTCTTCCAGCTTTGTGAGCTGTTCGGAGCGCATAGCATCTTGCTGCTGCTTGTGCTCCTGTTTCATCTCCTGGAGGCGCTGCTTTCTCTTCGCTTTCAGTTCAGTAAGTGAATGCTCAAGTTCGCTAACCGTCTTTTCCTTGTCGGATAACTTTCTTTCGCGGCGTTCTAGATTGGTCGCGCGCCGCTCTACGTTCTCCTGTCTGTTAGCGATACGCTGCTCCGTGCGCTGAACCTCAGAACGACGTTCACGGATCTCGGCTTCTGCATCCGTGCGGAACTTTAGCGCTTCCTCCTTGCCTTCGATGATAATCGCGCGCCGCTCATCGGCAACGTCTTCAAGTATTTGCGCGGCCTCCGACTGCGCTGCTGCGTAACTCTTCTTCTGAAGAAGTCCTCTTCCGAAATATCCACCAAGTGCGCCTATGGAAAGGCCTATGAGGACGGCGAGTATCGAAAAAATTGCAATTTCCAAAATACTCACCTCCCTTCAAGATAAATTGCCCTAGATTATCTAGGTCTCCCGATGAACTAATAGTATAAGCCATGTCAATAGGTGTCAAGGTGAGAATATCACGAGAAGCGGCAGCAGCGGAGCTCTGGCGCGATTGCAGAAAACCTCGTTTACACGGTGTTAGACTGCTCTATGCTTTATCACCCAGGTTTAACACGAGGCAAACCGGGACTCCTCAAGCGATGGTCTGATAGTAGTCTGCTCAGTGGTGGCGCGTGTCCCGTCCAAAGCCTGTCAGAACTGCCTATGTGTTTAGCCTTCCAAATCCTGAAGTTGCTGCAAAACCGTCTCAGGCGTCTGGTCGATCTCCTGTGCTGCCGAGCGCGTACTTCCATCGAATGACGCCGCTCTTGTCTATGATGAACGTGGACGGCTTTAGCGATGTTGTTGCGGCAAGCACTCCGTAATCATTTGATGACTGCCCTTTCAGAGTCGGATAGTATGGGGAAAGGTGCTCCCCACTGATGTGCGGGCTCCTCGGCTCCCTGCTAGATTGTCAGCGCTGGACTGCGAGGATGATGGCGTCCTGTTTCTTTATCTCGGCGTAATGGTCTGTCAACTCGACGAGCTGAGCGCGGCAGAACGGTCACCAGAATGCCCGGTAGAAGACAAGCACCACATTCTTATCGCCTCTGAACGATTCAAGGGCGTATTCTCCGCTGCGTGCGCTCGGCAGCGTAAAGCCTGGCGCGAGGTCGCTGACATTGGTGCCGACCTGCAGAATGAAGGCGCTGCTGTCGGCTCCGGCGTGGATGTAGGAACGGCAGTTGCAGTGGGTGGCACCAGCGTCACTGTCGGCTGTGGTGTGGATTCTGATGCTGCTGTTGCAGTGCTGGTGGGTGTGTCCGCCGGCTGCTGTGTAGACTGTTCCGCGTGGGGTTCTGCAGTGGGAGCAACTGTAGCAGTTTCCGCCGGCACTTCCACAGGCTCAGGCGTTGTCGCTGCACTGGTGGTCGGAATTGCGGTCGGAGATGGCGGAGCGGGCGTATCCACGCGGGCTACAACAGGAGCCGTAGTCGCCGTTGCCGCAGGTGCTTGCGTCGCGGTTGGCGCGGTCGGTGCGGGCTGCGGTGCAGGCGCGTCTTCGCCACAGGCGAGCAGGGCGGTGACAGACAGCGCGAGCGCTGTTCCTATGATCGTGTGCTTGAAATTCAGGCCCATTATTTTAAGGATGCCTCCCATTGTGCTGGCTGGGGTCGCTGATTTAGTCGGCGCTTGTTACTTTTCCTCGTTGGATAATGTAGCATAGCCGACACTGGACAGTTGCCTACAAATAATATGATGCTTGATTCGGTGAAAGGGTTGTCGCACGGCGGTTGGAAATGAGTCGCGATTGTCATTAGGGGCATTCCGGAACACTTCGCTGAGCCTGTTCACACCGACCTGTATGAGTTGACGATGGCGCAGGCGTATTGGCAGGCGGGGCGTTACGGCACAGGCGTGCTTCAGTCTGTTCGTGCGGCGATTGCGACGGATCGCGGATATCTGTTATTCTCAGGGCTCGAAGACATGCTGGACGCCTTGAGTGGCATGAGGTTCAGCGACGATGATATCGTTTCCTGCGTTCACTGGGACTGTTCGATGAGGACTTTCTGGATATCTGCGTGCTCTGCGCTTTGGTGGATGTGTTCGCGCCCTGCGGGAGGCGAGCATCTTCTTCGCAAACGAACCGGTGCTTGAGGTAACAGCCCCGGTTATCGAGCCAGATTGTCGAGACACTCCTGTTGAATCAGTTCAATGTGCAGACGATGCTGGCAACCAAGGCTGCGCGTGTGGTGAGTGCGGCGGACGGCAGGGCGGTGGTGGACTTTGCGGCGCGGCGCACGCAGGGCATAGACTCGGCAATCAAGTTTGCGCGCGCCGCTTACATAGCAGGGTTCGCAGGCACAAGCAACGTGCTTGCTGCCAAGCGGTATGGCATACCCCGCAGTTGGCACGATGGCGCACACTCGTTCATCACTTCGTTCGATAGCGAATTGGAAGCGTTCGGTGCCTACGCCGCGTCATTTCCTGACAACTCCACCTTTCTTGTGGACACATACGACACGATCGAGGGCATACGAAACGCGATCACTGTTGCAAAACGAATGAGGGAACAAGGGCATGAACTTAACGCCATAAGGCTGGATAGCGGCGACCTGCTGGCACTGTCAATCGAGGCGCGCTCGATGTTGGATGCGGCGAGTCTGCCTGAAGTTCAGGTGCTTGCAAGCGGCGGACTTGACGAGTTTCAGATCGAGAGCCTGCTGAGTCTTGGAGCAACGATTGACGGCTTTGGCGTTGGGACGAATGTCGGAACTTCCGCGGATTATCCGTGGCTTGATTGTGTTTACAAAATGGTGGAGTATGACGGCAGGCCCACTATGAAGCTCAGCGAAGATAAGGAAACGCTGGTGGGCGCAAAGCAGGTTTTCCGGTATGTGGGCGAGGACGGAATGTATGCAGGTGATGTAATTGGATGCACCGACGAGCCTGAGCCGGATGGGACGGAGATGCTGCTTTCGGAAGTAATGAGGGACGGTAGGCGGCTGGAAGTCGCGCCCTCGCTGGCTGAATTGCAGCAGCGATGCTCCAGTGAAATTGGGCGTTTGTCGGACACGCAAAAGCAGTTGCGCTCACCTGACGAGTATCCCGTTCGAGTGAGCGAGAGGCTGCAGGCGCGCCAGCAGAGGGCGAAGCGGGACATTCTGCGCAAGTCAGTCAATCGAGAATAGCCGAGTAAGAACAAAGAGGTGAAGGTATGGCGCGTGTTCCCTATGTTTCAAGAGAGGACTTGCCCGCCGAAAAGCAGTCGATATATGACCACATCGAAGCGACACGGGGCGGCATAGACGGCAAAGGAATACCGAACTCTTTTCGGCTACTGCTGAACAGCCCAGACGCCGCCGAAGCCGTCGGCACGCTGGGCGAGCACATTCGGCTGGGTTCCACGCTTCATCCTGCATTTCGAGAGACGGCGATACTCGGCGTTGCCCGTGCGCTCGACAGCCAGTATGTCTGGGCGCACCACGAGCCTATTGCAAGGTCTGTCGGCGTGCGCCCGCAAGTCATTGAGTCTATTCGCAGCGGCAGGGCGCCGATGGGCTTGCCGCCCAAAGAAGGAGTGTTCGCGCAGGCAGGCAAGGAATACGTGCGAAACGGGTCGCTAAGCGAGCGCACATTTCAAGCGGTCGAGCATCTGTTGGGGCCACAGGGAGCGGTAGAGCTTGTGGTCGTTATCGGATACTACGCGATGCTGAACGCGGTCCTCGGTTCGCTAGGAATAGAGCTGGACGAGCACCTTGAGGCGTCCTTGCCTGTGTAGGCGGGCGTGCCAAGATAACGATGACTGGAATCTCGACTTGACGAACGAATCTGACGACAACGCCGACGTGCCCGCTGCGGTGCGTGAGCGGACCTTACGTGACAAGCTGTCCACGCCCTCGTGGATACTGTACGATTTCTCGGACACGATATTCTCTGCCAGCATTCTTACATCTACTCTCCGCTATGGGTAACGCAGGACGCGGGCGGCACTGACGCTTACTTCGCTTTCGCGCTGTCGCTGTCCGCCTCTTGTGCTAGCACTACACCGCTCGCTATCGGGCGCGCGCTCTCCGACCAGATGACAGGCGCGTTCCGATGCTCGCCGTCTGCGTGTTGCTATGTGCTCTTTGCACTGGCCTGATTGGTGCATTCGGTGGCCTCAGCGCGGGCCTGACCTTATTCTTCTTCGCCAACTTTCTGTATCAGACTGGACTTGTCTTCTACAACTCGCTTATTCGCAATGTTAGCTCGGAGTCCGGGCGGGGCATAGTGTCAGGTATAGGAGTTGGCGCGGGATATGTCGGCCTCTTTGTTTCGTTCCAGTTGCTAGGGCCCAGCGTAGAGGAGCATGGCAACCAGTGGGCATTCCTTCCCACGGCGGGGCTGTATGTGCTGTTTGCCCTACCACTCTTGCTAATTGTCAAGGATGTTGGCAGCAGGCGTAGAATTACCCGCAGTCTAGTCGGTGAGTCGTACAAGCAGCTATACGCCACTTTCCGCAATGCCCGACATCACAAGAACCTTTCTCGCTTCATCGGGGCTCGCTTCCTTTATATGGAGGCTATCAACACGGTCTCGTCTTCTATGTCATCTACTTGGTAAGCGTAAACGCATTCACCCAGAGACGAGCGCGGGATATGGTCGTAGACTGCTTATGGTTGCCGTAGTGTCGTCGATTATCGCTGGATTTCTGGTCAGCAGGTATGGCTCAAAGAAGGTGCTCATCGTTGCGCTGGTTGGCTGGACTACGGTAGTAGTCGCAGCTGCGCTTGCGGCTAACGGCACACTTATCATGCACACATGGGAGTTTCGTCATAGATGGCGCTTACATGGATGTTCTGGGCGCTGTGCGTAACAGGATGCTTCTGGGGGGCGCCGCAGATTGCGCGACAGGGTGATGCTGACAAAGCTCGCGCCGGAGGGACAGTTGGGCGAATTCTTCGGTCTGTTCCAGATGTCAGGGAGACTGTCCGCCGTAGTAGGACCTGCGCTGTGGGGACTGACGACGACAGCATTAATCGGCTTGGGCGAATGGCGTTATCGTGTTGCCATGCTGCTGGTGTCGCTGTTCTTAATGGGAGGGTTTGCGCTATTGCTTGCCGTGCGTGAGGAGCGCGACCCGCCCGACTTGCTCACCTCTGACGAGCAGCCGACTGCGAGCAAAGTCGTTGACTGAAAATAGGCGCACTGATAAACTCTTTGGAACATATCTGCGGACGCGCGCAATGCGTATATTGGCCTGTGGGGCGCGTCTTCAGAATTCCTTGATTGACAACGAAGATGGAGGATGCAAATGACGACTGTACAGTCAAAACAGGATGTTGCGCTGATGGCGCACCTGCTGCGAAGGGCTTCCTTCGGCGCGACCCGGAAAGAGGTCGAGCAGCGGATGGAAGCGGGCTACGAAGCCACTGTCGAGGACCTGCTATCGCAGTCGGCATCCTTCTCGATGCCCGAGGACATCATCCGCCGTTACCATGTTGACCAGTCCGACCTTCGCGGCGGCCGCCGCCGCCGGAGCGCACTGGGTATATCGCATGGCGACGACCGAGAACCCACTCGAAGAGAAGATGGCGCTGCTATGGCACCGGATATTCGCGACTCGCCGCCACCAAGCTCATTCAGGCCGTATGGTCGTGAACCAGGTTGAGATGTTCCGCAAGTACGGCATGGGCAACTTCCGTGACCTGCTGGTGAACCTGTCGCGCGACCCCGGAATGCTGATGTGGCTGGGACAATCAGGATAATCACAAGGGCTCCATCAACGAGAACTTCGGCAGAGAAATTCTGGAACTCTTCTCGATGGGAGTGGGCAACTACACCGAAGAGGACATCAAGGAGTGCGCTCGGGCGTTCACCGGCTGGAGCGTGGTCAACCCCGACTACATGTCCATCAAGATGCGCAACAACACCGCCCGTCCTTACGGCTACATCGCCTGGCAGTTCAACTACGATGAAGATGACCATGACCATGATGACAAGCTCTTCCTCGGCGAGAGGGGCGACTTCAACGGCGAGGATGTGGTGGACATAATCTGCAAGCAGGAAGCCACGCCGCGCTTCATCGCGCGCCACCTGTATCACTTCTTCGTGGCTGACGAATCTCCGGTCCCGCAGTGGCCCTACGAAGATCCCAAAGACCCCGAAGCCATCGACATGATGACGCAGGCTTACTTCGATTCCGGTTACGACATCTCTGCGATGCTGCGAGTGATGTTCAACTCCGACTTCTTCAAAGACGAGGCTGTGCGCTTCGGCAGGATCAAGAGCCCCGCGGAGATGGTGGTCGGCACATTGCGACTCGCCGGCGGGCTCGAACTGCCGTCTATGGAGACATACGCGGCTGCGGGTGTGTGCTCGCAAATGGGGCAGGCGTTGTACGCGCCTCCGAGCGTCGAGGGCTGGCAGGGTGGCAGCGAGTGGATCAACACAGGCTCGTATGTGCATCGGATCAACTTTGCGAGCAAGGTGCTCGGCAACCCGAATAAGCCGGGACTGCGCATGCTCATAAGCGATGTGCGGGATTACGCCGAAGATGGCGTGCTGGACGCGGAGAGGCTGGTTGATGCCTGCTTCGATGTCATAGGCCCGATGCCCGTTCTGGATAGCACGCGACAGGGACTAATCGACTACGCCACCAAGTGGGGCGACCTAACATTCGATGACGACGATGCGACCGAATACGCCGAGCAAAAGATAGTTACGATGCTTCAAATGGCGGTGACAACGCAGGAGTATCAGCTGGCGTAAAGTCATTGAGGCATTTCACACTCAGACCCAAATGAGGACAGCAATATGGCCACGCAGACAATCACAAAGCCCTTCACACTGAAATATTTGGACACAATCGGGTTTGTCGCCGACCAAGGAGGGCGGGGATTCCACCTGCCAACCGACATGGTGATACGCGAAGACGGCAGGATATTCGTCGCAAGTCGCAGCAACACGACCGCCCTGGATATCGTGGGCATTCAGATGGCGACCGTTGACCACCAATTCTTAGGTCAGCTATACGGCTATGGCAGGGGCGATGGCGAAATGATATGGCCCTCCGCCGTCGCGCTTGACAGCGACAACTTGCTTTACATGGCGGAACGACTTTCTTCAGCGCTGTAACAATTTATGATGCTGATGGCAACTTCGTCTCCAAATGGGGCACTGTCGGGCGCGGCAATGGCGAGTTCGACGGTCCTTCGGGCTTGGCATTCGACGCAGATGACAATCTTCTGCTAGTTGACCATCGCAACCACAGGGTGCAGAAACTCACTAAGGACGGCGAGTTCATCAGCGAGTTCGGCTCTTTCGGAAGCGGCGATGGCGAGTTCAACCTTCCATGGGGGATCGCGCTCGACAGCGAAGGCTTGATTTACATCGCCGACTGGCGCAACGACCGCATACAGAAATTCACGCCCGACGGCGAATTCATCGCGGCGTTCGGTTCTACTGGTGACGGCGAAGGTCAGTTCAACGGCCCGTCAGGACTCGCTGTTGACTCTGACGGCAATATGTACATTGCCGACTGGGGCAATCAGCGAGTGCAGGTGCTCGACGCAGGAGGACATTTCATCACATCGTTGCGAGGTGAGGCGACACTAGGAAAATGGGCGGTCGAATACTTGAACGCGAATGCCGACGAACTGGACGCCCGCTCGCGCTTCGTGCCGGAGTTCGAAGTAGATATCGAGGACGAGCACGAGGCATCCGCGCGCATCGAGTCATTCTTCTGGGACCCGGTTACAGTCGTGCTGGACGAGCAGGAGCGCGTCTATGTGCTTGAGACCTGCCGCCATCGTTTCCAGGTCTATGAGAAGGTGTAGAGACAAGCACTAGCATTCCCGTCTAAGGACACTGCGAATTGTCAGTACGCATAGCAGACAAATCGCTGCAAGTTCAGAAGGCTCTCACTGATGCGCAACGAGGTAGTGAGCGATTAGAGCTCTGAGCGCAAGGCGCAGAACGATTGACAAGCATGCGAAAACGACGATTGCTTCGTGAAGATGTGCGTCAAGAGTCCACATGAGAACACTGAGGAACCGGAGCACATTCAGACAAAGGCTGGTCAGCCGTGCAGGTGAGAAATCGCTGCAATATTGCGCACTCTCTGAAGAGGTCGTACCAACGTTAGTTATGCCGACACTAAGAGCGTTGGCTTGCAGGATAAGTCAAGCTGCAGGGGGATTGGGTGGTGAGCGCGGAACTTGAGCGTCACAGTGACGGCAGCGCAGAGGTATCTACGATACCGCGTACGCTGCGCAGTCAAGTCAAAATACTCGGCGAAGATGCAGTCAAGGAGTTTCTCAAGGGAAAAGACGCCAGCCATATCAGATCATTTGAAAATGCACCTGAACTTGCCAAAGCCGATTCCAATTTCCTTTGGGAAGCCTTAGAAGCTAATCGCGCCCGTGGCGCAGCTGATATGACCGGTTGGGAGCAAATCCAAATTAACACTTAAGCACCGGTTTTGAGTCCTTTGCGATTGTGGCAAAAGACGTCATCCCGCAGGCTACTTTGTATGCAGTAGCTATTGAAGGTAGCATTAGTATCATAGAGAACAGCATCTATGTGTACAGAGGACAGAAGGACCTCCCAACGGCATTACAAGACACTGCAAGAAATGCTGCAAAGAGTGCCGTAGTCGGGCTGGTAGCGGGAACGGTTATTGCAGGCGCGAGCGCAGTAGGCGCTGCCCCTGTGATTGCGGCGGCAGCACCGGTATTGGGCGTTGTAGGCGGTGCTTTGCTGGTTTATTCAGTGGCCAAGCGCTTACATACCGCTTTGACATATGAGGAAGTGACGGAAGAAGCGATGGTGATTGATTCGTATGTGGTGCGTTACACCGACGACCGCACGGACGACCATTTGCTAGTGCCTCTGAACAATCAACTCGAACTTCTGAAGAAACTTAGAGAAGAAATACTGTTGGTCATTCCAGAAGAAAGACTCAAACTGCTACCGGCAGCTAAGGAGGAACGAACCTTATGAGCAGCAATGGCAAGAACCGCAAACTGGTGGTGGTGCAGCTTTCGGGTGGCAACGACTACCTGAATTGCATTGTGCCCTACAACGACCCGCTGTACATCGACAACCGCCCGAATATCCGCATTTCCGAGGAGCGCGCCATTCCGCTGGATGAGAACTACGGCTTCAACCCCGGCATGGGGCCCGTCAAAGATTTGTGGGAAGAGGGCAAAGTCGCCATCGTACATGGCATTGGGTATCCCACGCCGAACCGCTCGCACTTCCGCTCGATGGACATCTGGCACACCGCCGAACCGACCAAGGTGGGCGATCAGGGTTGGCTGGGTCAGGCGCTGCGCGAGATGGACCCTAGCGGCGAGAATGTGGTCGGCGGTGTGAACTTCGGCGCGGGGTTGCCTCGCGCTCTCGTGTCGCCCGGCGTGCCCGTTGCGTCGGTTACCGACCTCGAAAGCTACGGCCTGCTCAACGACATTGACGGCGCAGACCAGCGCGCAGAGGCCCTCGAAGTGTTCGCCAACATGTACACGCAGGCGCTAGGCAGCGGGCCCGTGATGGACTTTCTGAGCAAGACGGGCTTGGACGCGCTGCGAGGCGCGGACATCTTGCAGACGGCTCCGCAGAAGTACCAGTCCGATGTGGAATACGGCTCCGACTCTTACGGCAAGAGCATGAAGGGCGTGGCACAGGTCTTGCTCGCCGATGTGGGTACGCGCATCTGCTACACGCAGCACGGCAGCTTCGACACCACACGAACGAGGTTGCGCTCCAGGAGCGGTTGCTGACAGATATTTCCGGCGGCATCTACGATCTCTACACCGACCTGAAGCAGCACGACGCCAGCGAAGACTGTGCTGATGCTGGTCTTCACGGAGTTTGGCAGGCGGGTCAAGGACAATGGTAACGGCTCAGACCACGGCTCAGGTGGCGTCTCTTTCCTGATCGGCGACGGCGTGATGGGTGGCCACTACAACGAGTACCCATCGCTGGAAGCTCACACACTTGTTGAGGGCGACCTTGCGTTCAACTTCGACTTCCGCGGCCTCTACACCGAGATTCTCGAGGACTGGCTGGAAGTTGAGGCAAAGCCCATCGTACAGGGCACTTACGAGAAGGTAGGCGCGCTCGCAGTGTAGGTTCTAGCCTACAAAGATCAGTAGCCAAAGATTGAGGGGCAGTCATCAGACTGCCCCTCTTTTTTCATTGCCGAGCGAAAGAAAAAAGATTACGACGCGGCAGGCGCAACCTTCTCCGCGAAGTGCTCGAGAATGCGTATGCACTCCTCGATGTCGGGCGTGGGAAGTCGTAGGTAAGCTGATGGATGCCGATGTCGGCACACTTCTTGATGTCTTCGATGACGGACTGCGTGTCGGCGGAAATGCCAGCGCCCGTTGTATTGCCACCGCTTCCGCCTCCTGACACTCCGATGTCCGAGATGTGCAGGCTGCGCTTGAGGGAAATAGTGATGTCGTCGTGTCTGCGTCCCTCCGCTTCAACCTGCTCGTACAAATAGGGCAAGTTGCGCGTGACATACTCCGGTGTCTGGCGGGAAGGATGCCATGCGTCGCCGTACTTCGCAGTGCGTCGCAGTGCGCGGGCGCGTGTGCCCGCCGACCCATATCGGTATTCGCGGCTGCTGCACAGGCTTCGGTTCGAAGAAGATGCCGTCGTAGCTGTAGTATTGTCCGCTGTACGCGGGTTCTTGTTCGCTCCACAGGTTCGTGAAGATTTCGAGCCACTCGTTGGTCATCGGCCCGCGCTCTGAGTACGGTACATCCAGCGTCTCGAACTCTTTCTCCAACCAGCCCACGCCCACGCCGCAGACGGCTCTGCCCTTCGACAGCACATCGAGCGAGGCAAATATCTTCGCCTGCAACACGGGGTTTGCGGTAAGGCACAATGACGACAGTGCTGCCGATGCGTATGCTGCTTGTGCAGGCGGCGACATAGGCAAGCACGGTCATGTCTCAAGAAACGGCGCTTCGTGTGGCGTCTGAATGAGCCATCTGGAGTGTACGGGTACTGTTCGTAGACGCAGTGGGCAATACAATATGGTCGCCTATCCATACCGACTCGAAGCCGAGCTCTTCAGCCTTCCGCGCGAATCTGCTCAGTTCGTCGCCGTCCATCGTGTTGGGCAGGCAGAATCCGTATTGCATTGCGCCGCTCCTCTCATCTCATTCCCGTGGTGTGAAATCCGCAAGAGTATATCAAATACCAAAGCGGTCAGTTAGTCAGACGGGCGCACGCCCTCGAAGTACCTCCTGGGGTTGTCGACCATCATCCGGTCGATGACTGTTTCAGGTACCCCGGACTCCATTAGCCTGGGAATTACAGCGCGGCTGAGCCAGAGGTATCCGTCAGGATTCTGATCCCTGCTGGGCATGCCCGGCGAGCCAATGCGGGACAGCACAATGTTCCAGTCATGGGAAAGCATCAGTCTGGAGGCCAAGCCTTCGTCTAGTCGCTCTTTCAGATAGTCGGTCCTTTGCTGCCAAGGAGGCAGGTTCGGGCGGCCGAAGGGATTGTTTATGTCCCATCCCAGCCAGACCCCAAGCCGGGCCAGCTCCCGGTGATAGTCCGGATCAAGAGTGTTGTTGAGGTGCCCCACATATACGTGATGAGCCTCTACACCTTCCTCTTTGAGGATTCGCACCTGCTCCACGCCTATCCGTGACTCGGCTGGCGTGTGCGTGGTAATGGGAACGCCGGTGCGCAGGTGTGTGCGGGCAGAGGCACGCAGCATCAACTCTTCCTGCTCTGTAATCGGGTCACTGGTGGCTACTTTGATGATGCCGGCCTTAATTCCCGTGCCCTCGATCCCTTCCTCAATTTCCCGCACCCAAAAGGTCCGCGATGAAGTCCTTGTCCCTGCCCCAGAAGCTTCGCGGAATATCCAGCCAACAGCCAGTGCAGCAGATGAACTGCACCCCCGTTCTTTCCGAAACTTCCTTCATGAGAAGAACATCCCGTCCCAGGTCCATAGGAGAAACTTCGACGACGGTGTCGACTCCGCCGCTCTTGGCCTCGTTAAAGGACTCCAAAGCCATGTCCAGGGCTTGGTCGCGGAATTCAAGTTCGTAGTACGTATCCCGGATACCGGCGGACGAATCGATCAGGTGTTCATGAGGTAAAGTGAATCCCAGGTCCGCCGTATCCAACGGCCCTAGCACCGAGTTTATGGTTGCCATATCACACCTCCGATTGCTCCACTCAGTCTCGATTGGGGGGTTGTCCCTCACCGGATTGTACAAGCGTTGGCTTCATTCCGCGATGGTAGAATCAGCAAATCGCCCCACCATAGCCAATTCAGTCCATGCAACAAGCGATAGGAGGAGCGAAATGCCATTCCGCTTCACTGAGCAAGAGTTGGCCGACCGCAGAGAGAAAGCTGTGTCTGAATTGCAGCACAGCAGGTTGGCGGCCCTGCTGATTTTCAGGTATTAAGAGCGGGATTCCGCAGATAAACGCAGCAGAATGCGGCTCCATTGTGAACAGATCGTCCATTAGCGGCATCATGGGACAAATTGTGATACACATGGAATACAATGCGCCGAAGGGAGCGGTGCGGACGGTGGCAAAGTCTGAGCCGTAACACTGGGAAATGCATCGGTTAGTCATCGGTCGGTTAGACGCTTGGCATAAGTCGCAGAATGCCGGCAGGAGGAAGACAAATGACGACACATTCAATTGTTGACCGGCTTCGCAGCGGAGAGACGCTCCTTTTGGACGGTGGAACCGGGTCTGAGCTCCAGCGGCGCGGGGCTGACGTTCTGAAGGATGCAGACGACCATATTAAAGCCTGGTCCGCCACGGCGAACATCGAATATGCCGACGTGGTGCAGCAGGTACACTCGGACTACCTACGGGTCGGTGCAGACATAATCATTAGCAACAACTTCTGGACGTCGCCCACTCGGCTCGAGAGGATCGGCGAGGGTGATGACTGGCGCAAGTACGCGACTGCGGCGATCCGCAATGCCGTCCATTCGCGCGACTCGATGCGTCCCGAAGCGTACGTCGCCGGCGGCATCGCCGCGCCAGGTCTGCAAAAGGACCCGCCTACCGGACAGAAGCCGGTCTCCGACACGCAGCAATTGGGTGTCGAAGCGTACAGAAAGGAGTGGGCTGACCACGCGAAGCTCTTGGCCGACGAGGGAGCGGACGTGATACTGGCTGAATTCGTGGCTTTCATCGAGGACGGCGTAGTCGCGGTGGACGCATGCGCGGAGCTGGGCTACCTGTCTTCCTCGGTGTGCGGGAAATCAGGAGCGACGGCACGATGAGATTTGGAGAGAGCCTCGCCGACCTTGCTCGCGCACTTGAAGGCCATCCGGTCGATGCCGTCATGATTATGTGCTCCAATCCGGAGAACATATCCGTGGGCCTTCCGATCCTACGGGAGGCGTTCGCAGGTCCCGTCGGCGCATACGCGAACCTGGCTACACCCGACTGCCCCCCTCAGAAACAGGCGCATGCCCACGAACCAGAAGCCCGGCTCAGGCGAGGACATATTTCAGAATGCCGAGTACTATCCCTCCCGAATGGCTGAGTTTGCCGGGACGTGGAAGAGTATGGGCGCGCAGATCATCGGCGGATGTTGCGGCTCCGGCCAGAGCACATCTCGGCGATGCAGCCGATCGTAAAGGGCAGCTAGGGATCAGTACGCGCTAGGCGTGTCCCTCAATCGCTGACCGCCTGTTCTGGAAGCGCTGCATAATACCGCGTTTGCGCCGACGAAGAGATGAACACGGCGACATCCCCAGGTGTCGAGCGGTTCCTGACCTACCTTACGTACGAGGTCGGGGACGCCGCCTAGTGCCCCGATTCGTCGTCGCGTCCGAGCCCTGCACGGGTTGGAAAGACCGGCTGTGTCCACGCCCGCGGCCCAGAGGACGAAATTACCGTGGCGCGGACATATTCTTCATGCCCGTCGGCCCTGTACTCAGCAGCGGCCCGGTGCTCTCGGCCAGCACCACTCCGTCCTTGCCGGTGAACCGGATCGTATATATGAAGTCGTGCTCATGGTCGATCTCAAGCACGATACTCTCTGCGGAGCACTCCAGCCGTGTGAGCGTCACGCCAGTCGAGGCGTAGAACCTGCCCGACGCCAGGCCATCCACGATTGCCTCTTGTGTCAACTCGTCGGCCTGCACCATCACCCAGCCGCGGCCGGATTCGACAGCCACGGCGCGAAATCGTGATAGTTGTGCGAGTCGTCGGTAGCCACTCCGAAAATTACCCGGCCAGCACTGAGTACACCATCCCAGATTCCTTCATAGCTCGGCTTGCCGGGCGCACCGAACAGATTAACGGCCGGGTGCCCGTTGAACACCTCCAGCAGGCTGGCCCCTTCCACGCGGCTTATCTCCCCGGTGGTCGAGGGCCCACCCATAATTCGGATGGTTGATGGACGCTATGCCGCCTGCCTCGACTATCGCGTCCACATTGGCCTGCAGCGTCTCCACCAAGTCCCCAGCATCGATAGGTTCGACGATCTGCGAAATCCCCACGCCGTTGATGTGTATCGGCGTTTCGCCTCCATTTATTCGGACGCTGACCTCCTCGCCTGGCACCATCAACGGCTTTCGGAAGCGGCGTCGGCCAGAGCCGTAATCCAGCAGAGTCAGGTGGTTGTGGTCGCTCAGCACCAGGAAGTCGTAGCCGTGTCTCCGGTACCAGCTCACGACCTTGTGGGGGTCCTCGTCACCAGTCCGATTCAGTCGTATGCGTGTGTATATTTCCCTTGTACCACTGTGTTCCGCTCATGCATGCCGCCTTTCAGTGAGACTTCTACGCCATAAAGCAAGTTTCCTGCCAGACATTCAAAAAAGGCCTATGCTCCGTCCAGACAGGCCTAGTTTACCGCGTGATTCGTCTTCATTTAGTGGGTGCTGTCCGGGATAATAGTTAGGATAAGTAGCCAGCATGAATGTCATCTGCACACTCTGTGATAGTAGCAGGTCAACAGCCCTCCGATGTAGGCGTCTTAGCACAGGAGATTACATTAAGGATTGGGCAATCACAATGACCACCACGGCAGTCGCCCGCCGGCGCAGTCCGCGCAGACTGCATCCCAAGAGCACGGATCTTGAGATTGAGAAGGATCAGTCTCCATTCTTTAGAAAAGCGCAGAACTCAATATGCTTGTGACTCTTTTCCGAACCTGTATCATATAGGTAGTCGGCTCGACAGGTAGCCATCCCATTCGACAGAGACAGCTTCAAGCCAGGAAGAACGAATGCGGGCGATACTCCCGCGCTCCCAGGAGACGTACATGCCAATCATCGATCACAACAACGCAGAGGAGGTCCCCTGGAGGCCGAACTACCGCAAGTGGCTGATCACGCAGGAGGGGGACGGTACGACATCAACGGAGGCAGCAATCAGCGAGGTCGGCGTCGGCACCGGAGCGCCGCTGCATACGCACGAGGACGATGAGCTGATCGTCGTGCTGAGCGGCACTCTGAGCGTGCGGTACGGGGATGAGACGCACGAGGTGGGTGCTGATCACACGATCGTCGTGCCTCCCAACGTGCCCCATGGCTTCACGGCGATTGGGGACGCTCCGGCCAGAATCATCGGGATGTTTCCGGCGAAGGACCCGTTCCTTCGCACACGGTTCCTGGAAGGCGGGCCTCCGGAGGTGCATAGCTGAGCGGTTACTCTACGCTTAGCTGAATTCTGGGCCTTCAGCGTTCGAACTGCACTGACGGTCGGCGCACACCGATGCTGTAACAGCTTGGGGTATTGAAGTCTCTGAAACACCGTTCAGCCCACGTACTCCCCATACCATGCGCCATACCCGGACGCCTGCTATTCCGCTTCCAGTGTGACGGCGGCGGGAATTGAGAGTTCAGACCAGCCCTTCGGTCACCGCCGCATCTTCGATTATCTCCCATCCCTCTTCGACGCCCGCGACGAAGCTGCTGCAGCCTTCTCCTTCTAGCACCGCCCGTTCAACCTCATCAGATCCGGTAATGACGAGGAACGCCGCTTCGATCTGCGCGACTAACTGCGGTTCCATATCTTGCTGAGCCGTGAAGCAGCAGTGGCTATAGGCGGGACTGGACCAGAACACTCGCACCGGATGTCCAGTCAGGCTGCCATCCTCCACCATCAGTTCCAGCGTTCTCCGGCTTACCGCTCCGGCATCGAACTCACCGGATGCCACTCGCTCAACCACATCGCGCTCGTCTGACGTGTTCCGTGATTCACGCTCCTCATAGAAACTGACGGCCGAAAGGTCTTTGTCAGGGTTCAGCCCTGACTGCTTCAGAACGTAGTAAGGCACCAGACCGGCCTGCTCGGAACTGCGGCGGCCAAATGCGAATCGCCTGCCTAAAAGGTCTTCGACTAGTCAGGATATCTGACTCCGAGTGGGTGATGAACTGCGTAACGAAGTCAATGTCAACATCGCGCATCGCTATGACGCGACACGGCCGGTCCAGCAGGCGCTTGATCTTGAACGTAACCGAGCGGTCCGTTCCACGCCAGGTCAATGTCGCCCTTCACAAAGGCGTCCACCATCGCGTCGTAGTCCGAATACAGAATCCAGTCCAGGTCGATTCCCCTGCGGCGGAAAAGTTCCTCCAGCCCCTGAAATACCTCAAAATGAGACGATGTAGCCGACCCGCCTAGCGTAACCATGTTGTCCTCCTGTGATTCTGAGACCCAGCTAGTATGTATTGGCCACCCGCTTACAGACAAGCGACATCCTTGAAGTCTGGCAAGCATTCCGCGAATTCGAGCGTCTTCAGCCGCCCAGAACATCTTCCATTTAGAGTCTGCGAACTGCCCATCATTCGTTCCAATCACCAACGGCACTTTCGCAAGACTCCAATGCGAGTCGGGCGCTTGTCGCAAAAGGATATGCTTTTTATAAATCAACGAATGCCCCAGCCGCCGTATGAATGGTCAGGGCAAGTTAGGTCAACGGAATGTTCGATTGTTCTTTGGGCAAATCATAAGGCGACCAGTTCGCCCTGATGGCTTCGAATCTGTGCCTCTAACTCTTCAGGATAGCGCATCGAAACGTCCAATCCGCAATTCGGTGCGGTGATGAAGCGGTCGAAAAAGCACATGTTTGAAATATCTCAGCCGCAGAAACGGCACCTCATATTATCATCTGAGAATATGAGGTCTTTGTCACCATCCTGTGCGGCGAAGTCCAGAAGCACACGCAAAGCCTTGGACTCATCCGCAAGCCCGTAGTCCTCGGCTATCTTGCCGAGCCATTCGAACTGTTGCTGTTCTATTTCAAGAGTCTGGTCGATCTTGTTGCTTGGCATCGTGAGAGTCCTCCAATCCCTATGACTTAATTGACATATGCTACCTGATCAGTTTCTGCGAACTGGCATCCGCCAGGTGTTCTCGTCTGCTTCCTTTGCTTCCAGAATATTACCGCCACGGTATTCCTCCAATCAATCTTTCCGCAACAGTCCATCGATTGGCTCGTACTCCTCTTTTTGCTCTATTCGCATTATCGAAAGTTCTCTACGTCGTTTGGTGAACTCATAGACACCCGCGTCCGCCTGTGATGAGATCACTCTAAAGGTATCATCGACGACTTCGAGCGCACATCTATCGTCGATGGCAACTGCTACATCCGAATGCTTTAGCACCATCTGCCGAAAGTCCTGTTCCCGCTTAACGCCAGCCGTTTCGCTATCAAAATGCGGACAGCAAAGCGCGTCAAGGAGTCCAATGCCCCGTACTCTGATGTAGCTCCAGCTTTCAGGACGATAGAATTCCATGGAGTCGCTATGGCCCCAGCCGAACCAGCAGATACACCCTGCACTCAATCCCGAAAGAACGATTCCCCTCTCATATGCGTCTTTCAGAATGCCGTCTACCCCGAGTCTTCGCCAGCGTCTCATCATCTTCAGGGTGTTCCCACCACCGACGTATATCAGGTCTGATGAGAGAATCTTCTGCTCAAGCTCTACATTAGGGGGACTGACATCGAGCAGATAGAGCACATCCACGTCGCATCCAAGTTCTGTTCCATAAACGTCTTGAAATGCTTGCGAATATTCCTTTGAGTCGCCGCTGCCGGTCGGGATAAACAACGCCTTGGGGCGGTCCTTGCCAGTTAGGGATACGATCTCCTTGTCGATAGCAAGAGTATCTCCCTTGGCTATATCTCCGCCTCCTATGGCAACCAGCTTGCCCATACCTAAGTCAACTCCCTGTATCGTGGCTCTTTCAAGACACATTCAACAACTGTATCTCTGTGACCAGTTAAGCGAACTCCAACTTGATCGTCAAGGTGAGAGTTCTTGATATTGTCCATTTTGGTGAGTCAAAGTGGACGGTAAGCAGTGCTCTGTTCAACATGACGCAACGAAGATCCTACTGGTGGACAGCGCCAACGGCTCCACCGCCCGCCGCTATCACCTCGCCGGTGACACACTCCGCCTTGGGAGAACAGAGATACGCAGTGAGCCATGCGAGTTCTTCGGGCGCTACCAGCCTGCGTATGGCGACGTTCCTCCCCGCCTCGGCGTTGACCTCATCGCGCGGCACGCCCTGTTCGGTAGCCTGGTTATTCAACCGCTCATTTATTGTGTCCGTGAGCGTCAGACCGGGGTGAACGACATTCAGCGTAATCCCGTCCGGGCCAAGTTGGTCCGAGAGCGTCTTGGTCATATGGACTACTGCCGCGTTGCGAAGCCCATATATCGTGGACTGGCGCGCCGACACGCCGCCGATGCTTATGACGCGCCCCCACTTCTTCGCGCGCATATGAGGCACGACCGCCTTGATGCTCCTGAAGTACCCCACCACCTTAGTATCGAGGTCTTCTATCAGGTCTTTCTCGTCCGCATCGTCGATCGTGCCACGCACCTGCCCGCCGACCATTGCCGCACTGTTGACCAGAATATCTACTCCGCCAAGTTCAGAGACGGTCGTCTCCACCATCCTCTGGACATCATCCCAACTCGTTGTATTGGCTGAGATGGCAACCACCTTTCGCCCCGTAGCCGACCTTATCTCCTCAGCTGCTTGGTCCAGTGTGTCCTGTGACCGGGCGGCTATGGCGACGTCCACACCTTCCTCGGCAAGCGCCATGGCGATGGCCTTGCCTATGCCCTTGCTTCCGCCGGTGATCAAGGCGGTCTTGCCTTTCAGTTCGAGATCCATGTGTCTTTCTCCTGTCTTCGATGTCAAATCCGAATTCCGGTCAATTGTACAGATTTCAGCCTCTCAATTTCCACTTGGGACCTGTCCGAGTCGAGGCCCGTGCGTCGCGCACAAATATAGCAGGAAGCATCAACAATCTGGTAGGGCGATTCGCCGCAACGGGTATCACGAAAGTCCTCCCACTCTGCAGTTGGAATCGAGGTTGATGTGAGGGAGAAAGTTGGCGTTATCGTGGGTGTGACCATGCTCGTGGTCGTGTGAGTTGCGGTAGCCGTATAGGTAGCACCCGATTATTGACGGCACCCGTCCCATTGCGTACTATCGCAGCGGCAGTCGAAGGCGTCAAATCAACGTCACATTCAGGAGGTAGAGATTGAAGTACGACTACATTGTCATCGGCGCAGGTTCGGCAGGCGCTATCCTAGCCACGAGGCTCTCGGAAGACCCCAACACCTCTGTGCTCCTGCTGGAGGCCGGCCCGGACTACCCGAACATCGACAGCCTCCCTGAGGAGGTCAAGTACGGCTACATGTCAACCAAGAGTGTCTGGGACAGCGATCACAATTGGCAGTACACCGCCAGGGGCACCGAAGAGGCCGAGATCGAGATTCCCAGGGGCAAGGTGACCGGCGGATCCAGCGCCATCAACGGACAGGTCTTCCTCCGTGGCATCCCCGAGGACTACGACAACTGGGCGAAGTGGGGCAACGACGAGTGGAACTTCCAAAAGCTTGTGCCCTACTTCAATAAGTTGGAGACGGACACCACCTACCAGGACGATCCCGGGACTTCCACGGCTCCAGCGGGCCCTATTATCTGCCACCGCTTCCCACAAGAGGAGTGGAGGGAGGGGAACAGGGTCTGGTTCGAGGCCTGGCGTGACAAAGGGCATCCGTACTGTGAGGACCACAACGCGCCCCGGCACACGCGGAGTGGGGCCCATACCCCTAAACAATCCCAACGGCATCCGCTGGTCCACGGCCATAGGGTACATGAGCCTCTCGCGCCACCGGCTCAACCTGACCATCAGGGCCAACGTGACGGTCAAGAGGTTACTCTTCGACACCACCGGTCAGCGCCCCAGGGCGACGGGAGTCGAGGCGGTCTCCGACGAAGAGACTTTCGCCGTCGAGGCCGAAGAGATCATCCTCAGCGCAGGCGCCATCGGGTCGCCCCAGATACTGATGCTCTCCGGAGTCGGCCCCCGGACCATCTGAGGGAGCACGGAATAGAGACCGTAATCGACTCGCCGGGAGTCGGCCAGAACTTGGCAGATCACCCCCTCCTCAGCATATTGTGGGCAACGAAGCCCGAGGTGGAGCTAACCAACTTCGTGCCCAACGCCCAGTTACTGGTGAGGTACACGGCCGAGGGGTCTGACATCGAGAACGACATGATCGTCTATCTGTCCGCGGCTTCGGGTAGGGGGCGCACCATGGGCGGCAAGCACGGCGACGTGGTGGGCCTGGGTGCCGGCCTAGGGCTGAACCTGGCGCACTCCAAGGGCGAGCTCCGGCTCCGCTCCGGCGACTATAGGGACCAACCCTATCTCGACTACAACCTCCTGGATCACGAGGAGGATCTGCGCAGGTACAGGGACGGCGTCCGTCTGCTTGTCAGTCTGGAGGATCATCCGGCGATGGCAGCCATGATCGACGAGAGGGTCTACCCCGAGGGCTCGGACCTGGAGTCGGACGAGGCACTGAATCTATGGATGAAGAGGTATGTGGGAACCGGCCACCATATCTCCTGCACCGCCAAGATGGGACCTAGCTCAGACCCAATGGCCGTGGTGGATCAGTACGGCAAGGTCTACGGAGCGGAAGGCCTGCGGGTCGTGGACGCCTCGATCATGCCCGAGTGCGTCCGGGCCAACATCAACGTCACCGTCCTGATGATAGGAGAGCGCGTTGCAGACTTCATCAAGCAGGGAAAGTGAAGATCGGGATCCCCTTTTTCCTAATGTGGGAGGCGCAGGGCGTCTCATGGCTGACAGGAACACGATGCGGGGCACTGTACTACTGGTCCGATAGCAGGGTGCCGCCAAGGTCGCTCTAAAGACGGAGCAAGGTGGAATTGCCATAAGCCGGACTGGCCATAAGCCGCATAGCCGGTGGAGACGGAAGATCAGCCCGTTCTCCACTGCTCAGCGTCGTCCTCTGGTTCGTACCCAATCAGTTCGCGCGAGTTCGAGATGTCCCAGAAGCGCCAGGTGTTGTTGGAGACGCCGTAGAAGATCGCGAACCTGATGGTGTCGGGCGCATCTATGCACCTGCGTACCAACTGCACCAGGTCGCGGTGCGACAGAAGGGTCGCGAACTGTCTTGTGGCCTGCGGCGTACCCTCGCGGTTCAACGTCCCGATCCGAAGGCAGATGACCGACAGGCCGAAGTGGTCGGAGTAGTATCGTCCGTCCGCGGCCTCTCCGAACGCCTTGCCTATTCCGTACGGCCCGTCCGGTCTTATCGGCATGTCCACTGTTACACGGGGGAAACTCGCCGGGTCCAAACCCGTCGTACTGCCCGCAACGATGGAGGCGTAAGGCTCGTCCCCCTCGTAGTTGCCGGTCGCGTGATTTGAGCTGGCGAAGATTACGCGCTTCGCCCCGGCCCGTCGCGCAGACTCCAGTGCATTGTAAGTCGAAGACAGATTGTTTCGATAGACGACATCCCAGGGACTATCCTGGTCCGGCACGCTGGCGAGATCGATAATACCGTATCCACGCCATCGTAGGCAGGCAAGCACCGCGTCGAGATCAGAGGTGTCAGCAACGAGGCTGGTGAAGCCGTCCACTGATCTGATATCTCACGCCGGTTACGTTGTACGACTCTTTCAAGCCGTTCTGGAGCAGGCCGCCTATGAGTCCGGCCGCTCCGGTTATCAGTACGTTCTTTCTGTCAGGCATGTAGCTCTCCCCTAAATCTGCAATCAACTGTAATCATAATCAGTCCAGCAGCGCCGATTATAGTTCATGCAGGCGCGCTCGGCTACGAACCCTACCTGTGCGATCCAATATGTCCGGTTGATACCGAACTTCCACTGCATCCAAAGCATCTGTCACTCCGAGCCGTTGTCTTGACCGCTTGTGCCATCTTGGGGTTAGATTCAACGCCAGAATAGGCAGACGAAACGCAATCCCGTAAAATACGCAGTCTCCGGATTGTTGCGCCGCCCTATTGACAACAAACCCCGTCCTGCCCTGCTCATTACACATCAAGGTAACTTTAAAGCTCGCTGATGGAGGAAACATGCCTATGCCGTTCTACGAAGAGGCCCCAACCGTATCTACTACGAAGAGGTCGGTTCGGGATTCCCCCTGCTGATCATTCCGGGCGGCGGACTTAATTCCACCGTGGCATCTTTGAATACTTCGGTGCCCTTCAACCCTATGGAGACTACAAAGGCGACTTCCGCTGTAATGCCGCCGATCTACGCAATGCTGATCTGGGCCAATCGAGTGGGCCACTGGAGATCGACCGCCCCTGGGACGCCTACTCTGATGACCAGCTTGGGCTGATGGACCATCTCGGCATAGAGGAGTTCCTGGTCATGGGCTTCTGCATCGGCGGGCCGATGATCCACAACCTGCTCAGGCTTGCCCCGGAGCGCATTGTGGCGGCGGCGTTGATGCAGCCCAGCGGGTTCAACCCGGAGGCGCCAGATGTCTTCTACCAGAACAACACATCGAGGTGGGGGCCTCCCCTTTGCGAGAAGCGCCCTGAAGTCACAATGGATATGGTCCATGACTTCCTAATCAGCATGTACACCGACCGCGCCGACTTCGTCTTCACCGTTTCCCGCGACTTTGTGCGCGCCTTGGAGACACCACTGCTGATAGCGCCAGACAATGTGCCTGCGCACCCATACGAGTGCGCGATGGAGGTTGCCAGCCTCGCCCCGAACTCCGAGGTAACCATATTCCCCTGGAAGGACTCGCAGCCGCACATCGACGAGGTCGTATCTCACGCCCGGCGCTTCCTGAAGACCCATGAACCGGTAGCTGCGACAGCCTAGCAACCATTCCACCTTGGCGTACATGTAGAGAGCAACGGTCGCACGTAGCGTGCCCCGAAGGCGCATTAGCGGCCTGAGTGACCCGAACATACTTCAAGTGCAAAAAGGTGGACACCTGATTACAGTATGCTTAGAGACCGTTAGGGTTGCAGAGTATGGAGCCGCGCAACCTAGGCAATCAGGGACAAGATCATAGAGAACGAGCGCGCCGGTGAGGCGCTGACACTCGACGGACGAGGCGAAGGAAGAGGTCGCCAAAGAAGGAGTATCCTAATGACAACTACACCGGGAACCGAACTGATAGAACTCGAAACAGGCGTTTTCGCCCGGCTCCACGAAGGCCTTACCAACGCCGGCATCATCGTCGGCGATGACGGCGTGTTGGTGATAGACTCGCTGCGCGTCCCCTCATTTGCACGGGATCTGATCCGAGATGTCAGGCACATCACCGACAAGCCGATTCAATACCTGGTGACACCCACTCGCACTGGGATCACTCGTGGGGCAATGAAGAGTTCCCCGAAGCCACGATCATCGGACACGAGAACTGCTACAACGAGATGGTGGACGTCGAGTGGAATAGGCAGTGGCGCGAGAGTGTAGTAAGTTCCGGTGATCCTTGGTCGGAGGAAGCCGGACTCGTAACGATTACGCCTCCCAATCTCACGTTCGAGACCAGCATGAGACTCTACTTCGGCGGGAGGGAACTGCATCTCAGGTACTTAGGCAAGGCGCACACGAGCGGCGACACTCACATCCAGCTTCCGGACGACGGCATCGTCTTCTGCGGGGATGTCGCACAGGATGGCGGAGTTCCCTATCTTGGCGATAGCTACCCGGAGGAGTGGCCGGACACCGACGACCGTCTGGTCGATCTGCCAGTCGAGCGATTCGTCTCAGGACACGGCCCAGTCGGACAGCATTCCGCCTTAGCGGAGGCGAGAGATTTCATTCACGATCTCGTCGGCGCTCTCAAAGCTGCAGTCAGAGACGGCAGGAATGAACAGGACGCGGCCTCCATGACAGTCGCCGCTCTCACTCCCCGCTACGGAGGATGGCGAAGTTTTGAACGCCTTGAAGAGACTTTGCCGGAGGTGTACCGGAAACTCCCCTGACTCGCGCTAATACACTCCTTAGCTCGCTCGCCAACATGATAGTCGTAGCATGAATACCGCCGGACATTGGAATACTCAGCATTACCGACGCGTCGGAAACCGATAAACTGTCATAGCGGCAGTATTTTGGTTCACCAGGCCGGCAAGTAAATGTAATCAGCTCACTCCCGCATCAATGCGCGTCTCTAATCTTGTAGGTCCGATCGCAGATACGCCCGTTCAACCACGTTACCGACTGCGTGAGCGAATTATAGCTCCTTGACCGCGTGGCTGGCGCCTGTATGGTCTTCCGCCCAAACCCGGAATGAAGAGGGAAGGCGTATTGCTCCAGTGTTGCTATCCAGGCATCAGCAGGGCATCTGTTGCTGCATATCGGAACATCGATCTGGTGTGCTTCCGCCACATGGCTCGTGCAGAGGACTGGATGAGAATCCGCATGCCGTAAGAGCTAGATGGTACAGGCGTGCAGAGAGCAAATACGGAATGTTGTGGGAAGGCATGGGAAGGGGTAGTGGTGGAGATAGGGGGACTCGAACCCCCAACCTCGGCATTGCGAACGCCGCGCTCTCCCAATTGAGCTATATCCCCACGAGCTACCGTCGAATTATAGCAATGGTCCGGAATAGGTGTCAATTTGCTGATACTTGCGACCAGGCTGCAAGGGAGATTTCTGAGCCAAATAATGTACTCAGGAGCGCTAATGCGAATTGCCCAGCCCAATCTGCGTATGTTATACTGCTTGGGATGTTGAGCAACTTTTTAAGGTAGTCTAGGAAGGCATATATGCAGCAATCCGTACCAGTCGTCGACCCGCAGCCAGACGTTGTGGTTCAGCAGGCGCCCCGAGCGCCGATGCCGAGCGTGCCAACAAGTATCACCATGAAATCGCTGCTTGAGGCGGGCGTGCATTTCGGTCATCAGAAGCGCCGCTGGAATCCGAAGATGCGGCGTTATATTTTCACTCACCGCAACGGCATCCACATTATAGACTTGCAGAAAACCCTGCGGATGCTGGAAGAGGCAGCCAGTTTCATCGGCGATGTCGCCGCTGAAGGCAAAAAGATCCTCATGGTCGGAACGAAGAAGCAGGCTCAGGATACGATTGTCACCGAGTCCCAGCGCGCGAATTCGTACTATATTACGACACGCTGGCTCGGCGGCACTCTCACGAACTTCAAGACCATCCAGTCGCGGATCGACCACCTCGTTGATCTTGAAACTAGGCAGGCAAAAGGCGAGTTTGCCGCATATACGAAAAAGGAAGCACTCAAAAGGGAGGCTTCCATTGTGCGGCTGAACAGGTATCTTGGCGGCATCAAGGAGATGACCGAGATGCCTGGTGCGCTTTTCGTCATTGACATCGGCAAGGAGGCGATTGCGGTCGCTGAAGCTAAGCGTGTGGGCATTCCCATCGTTGCTCTTGTCGATTCCGACTGCGATCCCGACTTGATTGACTACCCGATTCCTGGCAACGACGACGCTATACGTTCCATCAGGCTTGTCACGGGCTCGATGGCGAATGCCATAATCGAAGGCACCAACAGGCACACCGCCTTTGAATACGAGGAGTTGGGCGAGGCTGCGATGCCCGCCGAGGACACAACACTCGGCGAAGTTACACCTCCTGTCGTTGAAGCCGCGCCCGCAGCAGTTGCTCCCGAGCCGAACGGCGCAGCGGTTCCCGAACAAACCGCGGTTCCCGAACAAACAATTCAGAATACCCAGGCAGAGTAGAATTACATTTGTAGGTGTAGAGTTGGAACTAAGTGTAACGACAATTAAAGAACTCAGAGAGCGCACTGGCGCTGGCATTATGGACTGTAAGCGTGCTCTTGAAGAAACCGCTGGCGACTTGGGCAAGGCTGAAGAAATTCTCGTTAAGCAGGGAATCGCCAGCGCATCCAAGAAAGCCACGCGATCCACTGAAGAAGGTATCGTTGAGTCGTATATTCATAGCGGCGGACGCATCGGCGTATTGCTTGAAGTGAACTGCGAGACCGATTTCGTTGCGCGCACTGACGATTTCAAGGAGCTTGCGCACGACCTTGCAATGCAGGTTGCGGCAATGGCGCCGTCTTATGTGACCAGCGAAGAAGTGCCGGATGACGAGGATGCTGACAGCGCTGAAACCGTGCTGATGCATCAGCCCTTTATCAAGGACCCGTCCAAATCCATACAAGACCTGGTCAACGAAGGTATTGGCAAGCTGGGCGAAAACATCCGCGTCCGGAGGTTCACCAGGTTCTCGCTGGGAGAGTGAAGCACACTTGCGGAGTACCAGCGTAAAGTACGAACGGGTACTGCTGAAGCTTAGCGGTGAGTCGTTCACAGGCGAGCGAGGCTTTGGCACCGATTCCGGTGCTGTCTCTTACATGGCGCAGCAGATAAAAAATATTTGCGAGCTCGGTGTGGAGACCGCGATTGTCGTGGGTGGTGGAAACATCCTGCGCGGTTGGGAAGCTGAATCCGAAGGAATGGATCGCTCAACCGCCGACTACGCTGGGATGCTTGCGACCATTATCAATGCACTCGCGTTACAGGATTCTCTTGAGCGTCACCACGGTCTGGAAGTCCGCACCCAAAGCGCCATCACCGTTCAGCAGATAGCCGAGCCGTACATTCGGCGCCGTGCAATCCGACACTTGGAAAAAGGGCGTGTGGTCATATTCGCCGGAGGTACGGGCAACCCGTTTATGACCACGGACACGGCCGCGGCGCTTCGCTCAATCGAAATAGAAGCCAAAGTGCTGCTGATGGCAAAGAACAATGTTGACGGCATCTACGAGGCAGACCCAAATCTCTTTCCGGATGCCGCCAAAATTGACTTCCTCACGCACCAGGAAGCCTTGGAGCGTCGGCTGAGGATTATGGACGCCACCGCCCTGTCACTCTGCATGGACAACGACTTGCCGATTATCGTATTTGACCTTTTTGAGACTGGAAGTATCGAGAAAATAATTGCAGGCGACCCGTTGGGGTCCGTAGTCGCTTCCGCCCCCGCGCTGTAAAGCCTGCCAAAGATATGGAGAGTTCAACGATGGCTACGGCTGATGAAGTTCTGCTGGAAACCGACGATAGAATGCAAAGGTCCGTCGAGGCACTCAGGCGCGAACTGAACACTATTCGCACAGGGCGAGCCTCACCCGCCCTGATCGAAACTCTGACGGTTGAGTACTACGGCGTCCCAACTCCAATGAATCAACTCGCTTCCATATCGGTGCCCGAAGCGCGCGTCCTGATGATCCAGCCGTGGGACAGGCAGTCAATCAGGGATGTGGAGCGCAGCATCCTTACATCTGACCTCGGACTGGTGCCGAACAACGACGGCACCGCCATCAGGCTTAACATTCCTGTTCTTACTGAGGAGCGACGCAGAGAACTTGTAAGGCTGGTTGGACGCAAGGTGGAGGATGGACTTGTGTCCCTTCGCAATATTCGCCGCGACAGCCTCGGTGGATTTCGCTCAATGGAGAGGAACAAGGAACTGTCTCAGGACGAGAGTCGATCTGCCCAGAACCAGTTGCAGGAAATCACCAACGCCTTCTCCAGCCAGATGCAAGAGATTAAGCAGGAGAAGGAAGCAGAAGTTATGGAGGTATGAGGCGTCCAAGCCTCTGTTTGCATGACCACAAAAGTGGAACTGAACGCTTCTGCTAACGCATCTGAACAAACGCAAATCCCTAACCCGCCTCCTGAGCATGTAGCAATCATCATGGATGGCAATGGCCGCTGGGCAGCCAGTCATGGCAAGCCTCGCAGCGAGGGCCATCGCGCGGGTACGGAAAACCTCCGCCGCATTATCGAAGCCTTTATCAGGCACGGCGTGCGCTACTTGACGCTATTCGCGTTTTCAACCGAGAACTGGAATCGTCCTGACGACGAAGTACAGACTTTGCTTGAGCTTGTGGATAGTGTCATTCGATCCGAGGTGAATGAACTTCATAGTGAAGGCATTCGGCTTCGGCACATTGGAAGAATTGACCGTCTTCCAACGGACTTGCGCCGCTCAATCCGCGAAAGCATCGAACTCACGAAGGACAACACGCGCCTGACCCTCTGTGTTGCCTTTGACTACGGCGGAAGAGCGGAGATTGTTGACGCCGTCCGCTCTATGATCGCGGATGATGTGCAGGCCGAAGATGTCAACGAGGACTTGCTCAGGCGATACATGTACACCAACGGCATACCAGACCCCGACCTCGTCATCCGCACATCCGGCGAGCAACGATTGAGCAACTTCCTATTATGGCAGGCGGCTTATGCCGAATACTACTCCACCTCTGTATATTGGCCCGACTTCAACGAGGCGGAAGTTGACAGGGCGCTCGAAGCGTACAGCAGGCGAAAGCGGCGCTTCGGCAAGGTACGCTAGCCATTGCGCCTCAATTAAGGCTACAGCGTGACTCAGAGACTTGCCACCGCGTTCGTCGGAATCCCATTGCTATTTGCAGCAGTGTGGATTGGCCCTCCTTGGTTTTCTGCGCTTGTCTTTATCGCCGCACTCGCGGCAGCCTACGAATTGTCGCGTCTTGCAAACCTCTGGGGGGATAAGTTCCACTGGGGCTTTCCGGTGGTTCTCTCTGCACTGTTCATCAGCGCTGTCCACGGTTGGACCAGGACAGGGGACACTCCGCTCTTCGGCAACTACTACCACTTTATGGCAATTCCTGCTTTCGCCTTAATGACAATGCGACTCGTCCTCAGCAGAAATGAGGAGCGTCCGTATCCCGCATTTGGCGTCGTTCTCGCGGCATCGGTGTACGTTGGCGGCCTGCTTTCCTATGCCATCTTGCTGCGCAGTGTAGATCAGGGTAGAGAGTGGATGCTGCTATTGCTGCTCGTGGTTTTTGCCACGGACACGGCGGCATTTTTCGGCGGACGCGCCTTTGGGAAGACACCGCTCGCGCCGAACATAAGCCCGAGCAAGACGCGAGAAGGCGCGGTCGCAGGCATGTCTCGGCGCGGTCGCGCGAGTGTTCTTGCCGCCAACTTGCTGGGAATACACGCTATAATGGTAGAAACAATCTTATTGGGCGTATTAGTTGGCGCACTCGCGCAGTTGGGCGACCTAGTAGAATCGCGCCTGAAGCGCAAAGCAGGCGTCAAGGACTCGGGTGCGCTTGTGCCCGGTCATGGCGGCATTCTAGACAGACTGGACTCAATTGTTTTCACCCTACCAGCAGTGTATTATTTCGTGATATGGGAAGTACAACAAAAAGGCTTGCTGTCCTAGGCTCCACCGGCTCGGTCGGCACTCAGACGCTGGATATCGTGCGCACTTACCCCGATGATTTCAGAGTTGTAGGGCTAGCCGCGCGCAGAAGTCATCGCCTTCTTGAACAGCAAATTCGCGAGTTCCGCCCCTCAATGGCTTATTGCGAAGGCAGCGTTCAGAGAAGGCATTCCTGAGCGACTACGGTTGCATTGACTGCGAAATTGACGAGATCGCTGCCAATCCCTGATGTGGACATCGTAGTTGCGGCAACTACCGGCGATGTCGCCGTGCCAGCAACCTTCGCGGGAATAGAGGCAGGCAAAGACATTGCCCTTGCCAACAAAGAGACGGTAGTCGTGGCAGGTGAACTGGTAACAAAGGCGGCACGCGATCACAACGTGTCCCTGCTGCCCCTAGACAGCGAACCCAACGCTATCTGGCAGTGCCTGCGCGGCGAAGACCAAAGCGTCTCCAAATTGATCATCACCGCATCGGGCGGTTCATTCCGCGATACCCCGATTGAGCAGCTTGCCGATGTTACGCTTGACCAGGCGTTGCAGCATCCCACCTGGCAAATGGGCGCAAAGATTACCGTCGATTCTGCCACTATGATGAACAAAGCGTTTGAGGTTATAGAAGCTCACTGGCTCTTCAATGTCCCCTGGGACGACATCGAGGTCGTCATCCATCCGCAGAGCATGATTCATTCGATGGTTGAATTCGCGGACGGTTCGGTGAAGGCGCAGATTAGCCCGCCGGACATGCGCCTGCCGATTCAGTATGCCCTGTTCTACCCGCGCCGCCTGCATAACCCCAACATCAGGCCGTTCGATCCGGTTGGAACGGGAGCGCTGAGTTTCGAGTCCCTGGACCCAGAGCGCTATCCCTGCTTTAGCCTTGCGCTTGAAATCGCGCGGCGCGGCGGCACTTGGCCCGCCGCACTGTGCGGCGCGGACGACGCAGCCGTCGAGCTGTTCCTCGCGGGCAGAATCGGATTTATGGAGATTCCGGTCGTCATTGCAGAGGCAGTCCGCGAACATCGAAACGTTGAAGAGCCAACACTGCAAGACACACTTGACGCCGCAGCCGCCGCACGCCGCCGCGCTGCCGGAATCGTGGAGGTGTAGCTTAGTGTTTGGGCTTCCTGCATGGCTGCTTGTCTTCCCTGTGTTGGGCTTCCTCGTCTTCATTCACGAGATGGGGCATTTCCTTACGGCCAAGTGGTTCGGCATCACGGTCAAAGAGTTCGGCTTCGGCTTTCCGCCGCGGCTGGTAGGCATCCGCTTCTCGCCGGGTGGCACCATATACTCCATCAACTGGATTCCGCTTGGCGGCTTCGTGCGCATGGTCGGCGAACATGGCGAGGGCATCGAGGAAGGAAGATACGTCCGCCAGAAGCCGGAGAAAAGTGTCATTCTTGTGCGCGGTCGCCACAACCATCCCGACTTCTACGGCCTCTTTGCCGTGCCCCGCGACGCCTCACAAGAAGACATTCGCAGGTCATATGTCGAGCTTGTCGAACTCATTAATCTGAGGGAACCGGATCGGCGGGACAGGATGCTCCACACCTTGCAGATTGCGTACAGCGAGCTGTCCAATCCCGAAAGACGCGCCGCCTACGACGAGCTAATCAAGGATGTCGAAATGGGGCCGGCAGACCCTCCCGACCACTATGGTCTGCTGGATGTGCCTTTGAAAGCCTCCCAGGAGGAGATTGACGAGGGCTACGAAGAGCTTAAAGAGCTCATAAATAATAAAAACCCTGATAATCGGGCAGGTCTGCTCAGATACGCAGAACACGCTCACTCGGTATTGTCGGACCCTGGGGCGCGCGCCTCCTATGATCGGAGATTGAGCGCGGTCGTGCCGGCGGAGGTCAGTTTCGCCGACCAGAGTGTTCTCAAGCGCGCCATAGTGCTCTGCGCCGGATCGGTAGTGAACCTGATATTCCCCGTCATAGTCTTCGCGGTACTGTTCGCGCTGCCGCATGATGTGCCAAGCGGCAAGGTCGTGATAACGGCGGTCGCGCCCGGATCGCCTGCCGAACTCGCCGGGGTAACTTCGGGCGACACGGTCATCGCAGTCAATGGAAACGAACTCGACACTCACGGCGACCTCGTTCAAGAGGTAATGTCCAGCCTTGGCTCGCCCACGGAACTGACACTTCAGCGCGGCGTATTCATAACAGGCAATCCGGCCCCGCAGCCCACATCGGGCGGCCACGAGACTGTTACGCTCGTGCCGCGCGTCAAACCGCCTAAGTTGGAGGTCGTAGAGCGAGTGACAGACCCGGCGCGCGAAGTGTCCCTTACAGACGCGAGGCGCTACCAGCCGGACCTGCAAGTTGGCGACACATTGACGCAGGGCGCGATGGGCGTAATGCTAGGCACATTTGAAACGCGAATGGTACAGCGCGACTACTCGGTCTTCCGCGCTATTCCGATGTCCTTCCAGCAAATGTGGGATGTGCTCACTCTTACCCGAACCAGCTTAGTTCGCTGGGCCTCCGGCGGGCCCGACCCTGGGCTTTCAGGACCCGTGGGAATAGCGCGCGTTACCGGACAAGTCGCGCAGGTTGGTCTGTCTCCCCTGCTGCAATTGACCGCAATAATCAGCATCAGCCTGGGCATCGTTAATCTGCTGCCTATCCCTGCGCTTGATGGCGGCAGGCTCATGTTCGTCATCATCGAGTTTCTGCGCGGCGGCAAGCCCATCTCGCCAAGACGCGAAGGCATGGCGCACCTGGTCGGATTCCTGGTGCTGATTGGTCTGATAGTGGTCGTAAGCTACTTCGATATAATACGGCTGATAAACGGCGACAGCGTCATTCCGTAAGGAATGCGTATGGCGATTCACCGTAAGGAAGATGTGGAGGGGAGCAGATGCAGAAGCGACGAGTAACAAAGCCCGTCTATGTTGGTGATGTGAAGATTGGCGGCGACGCCCCCGTAACTGTACAGTCCATGACAAGACGGACACGCGCGATGTCGCGGCGACCGTGCAGCAGATTCGTGAAGTCGAAGAGGCGGGCGGCGAGATAATACGCTGTGCCGTCCCCGACATGGAAGCTGCCAAGGCGCTCGCCGAAATCAGGAAGCAGATAAACATCCCGCTTATCGCTGACATCCATTTCCACTATCAGCTCGCGCTTGAATCGCTGAAGAGCGGCGTGGACTGCCTCAGATTGAACCCCGGCAACATACGCGACCGCGAGAAGGTCGAAGCCATAGTGCTTGAGGCGAAGGCGCGGCAGGTGCCCATTCGCATCGGAGTGAACTTCGGTAGCCTGCCTCCGGTGGGCGGCATCGGCGTGACGCGCGGACTATCACGCCACAAGGACGGCGTCAATATGCTGCCCAAGGCCGGCGAGGCCAGTGAAGGCGAGTACACCGTCGTTGACCACATGGTCCAGACAGGTCTGTGGGAGATTGGCATCCTCGAAGACCTCGACTTCGACCTCATCAAGATTTCGCTGAAAGCCTTCGACATAGACACCACCGTGGAGGCTTACAAGCGTCTTGCCAAGATGGTGCCCTACCCGTTCCATCTGGGCATCACAGAGGCGGGCACGGCAAAGTCCGGCAGCATCCGCAGCGCGATCGGACTTGGCATGCTGCTGTACGAGGGCATCGGCGACACCATCCGTGTCTCACTCAGCGACGACCCGCGCGAAGAAATATACACGGGCATGGAGATTCTGAAGGCGCTGGAACTGCGCAAGGAAGGCACGACGCTAGTCGCATGCCCAAGCTGCGGCAGGGCGGATGTTGATGTGCGCTCGCTCGCCAACAACGTCGATGAGCTTCTGAAAAGCATCAAGTCGCCAATCAAGGTGGCTGTGATGGGCTGTGAAGTCAACGGTCCCGGCGAGGCCAAAGATGCCGATGTTGGCATCGCCGCCGGCGCGGGGCGGGCTATCATCTTCCGCAAAGGGCAGAAGGCGCGCATCGTGGACGAAGCGGACATGCTCGGCGCGCTGATGGAAGAGGTGCGGAAGGTTGAATCTGAAATGGTGGGCGCCTAATACTGAAATACAATGACGGCAGATAGCCTTAGTTAGGTGCCGTCTCTACTATCTTTCGAGCAGGTTGTGATTTTATTATGCGAATGTCCAGGATGTTCGGTAAAACCCAGCGCAATGACCCGGCAGAGGCGGAGCTTGCAAGCCATCGCCTGATGCTGCGCGCGGGGATGATTTACCAGGTTTCAGCAGGCGTTTATAGTTACATGCCGCTTGCGCTTCGCACCCTCCGCAAAATTGAGCAGATTATCCGCGAGGAGATTGACGCTGCCGGTGGACAGGAAGTAATGATGTCCGCGCTGCAGCCGCTCGAATTCTGGGAGCAGTCCGGTCGAAGCGAGGCGATGGGCAATGAACTCTTCAGACTGCATGATCGCAGGGATCGCCCGCTTGTGCTCGCGCCCACGCATGAAGAGCTTCTGACCTACATGGTCAAGGCGAATGTCAACAGCTACCGCGACCTGCCGCTCATCATCTACCAGATTCAGACGAAGTTCCGCGATGAGCCAAGACCGCGCGGCGGTTTGATTCGTGTGCGCGAGTTCGATATGAAGGACGCTTATAGCTTCGATGTCGATCAAGACGGACTCGACGTCTCCTATGATGCTATGGCGCAGGCATATCGCAACATATTCAGCCGCTGCGGCTTGGAAACCATCGAGGTTGAGGCGGACAGCGGCGCAATCGGCGGCAAAGATTCCAGCGAGTTCATACTGATCGCAGACGCAGGCGAGGATACGATCGTCCTGTGTCCCTCCGGAGACTACGCCGCCAATGCGGAGAAGGCCGTCTTCGCCAAGCCTCAGCAGGATGCCGAGCCGCTGCTGCCCATTGAAGAGGCGCACACGCCCGGCATAAAGACGATTGACGAGTTGTCCAAATATCTCAAAGAACCTGCGCGCAAGACGCTCAAGGCTGTGTTCTACATGGCGATGGGCGAGCTTGTATTCGTCGTCATTCGTGGTGACCTAGAAGTTAACGAAGTCAAGCTATCCAATGTGCTGGGAGGCGCACCCGGCCTGCGCCTCGCCTCACCGGAAGAGGTACAGGAGCACGGACTCACGGCAGGTTCTGCGTCGCCCATTGGCCTGAATGGCATAAAGGTTGTGGCGGACGACTCCGTTGACATGGGTTCCAATTTCCTCGCAGGAGCGAACAAACCCGACTACCACCTTCGCAATACCAACCACCATCGAGACTTTGAAGCGGACATAGTTGACGACATCGCGCTCGCTCAGCGGGGAGACTCCTGCGAAAAGTGCGGCACGGAGCTCGTAATGCGGCGCGGCATCGAAGTCGGGCACATATTCAAGCTGGGCACGCGCTACAGCGATGTTCTGGATTGCGCATTATCCGGACGAGAACGGCGAGCCGCACCTCATCCTGATGGGCTGCTACGGCATCGGCGTAGGACGCCTGCTCGGTGCCACAATCGAGCAGAATCATGACGAGAACGGCATGGTGCTGCCCGCGACCATCGCGCCTTACGATGTGTCCCTCGTGGCACTCAACATGCAGAACGAAACTGTCGCGGAGTCGGCTCAAGCGCTCTATGACGAACTGCGCGGTGCCGGATTGGAAGTGCTCTTCGATGACAGAAACGAGTCGGCAGGCGTCAAGTTCAACGACGCCGACCTGATTGGCTTGCCGATACGCCTTGTCGTTAGCCTGCGCAACATCCGCGATAGCGTTGTGGAGGTCAAGCGCCGCTCCTCATCCGAAGCCGAAACGGTCGCCACCACTGATGTGGCTACCGAGGTCAAGGCGATGCTTGCGGGCTAGTGTCCCCTGCGAAGAATCTCCTGGAGGAAATCCCGCACTGCCGATTCGTAGCGGGCGCTGTCGAGATTCCACGAGCGCGCGTGCCCTGCCTCAGGAAAGCCGATGTAACGCACAATGTCCGGCCTCGCGTGTTGCAGCAAGCGGCTGATTGGCGCAGGCACTAAGTCGTCCGCCTCCCCATGAAGTATCAGAATTGGCACTCGCAGCTCTGACGCCCTGTTCAGATAATTCATTCGCTGCCAGTCTATGTCGAAGCGCCAGGCTGCCACCGCCTTGCCGATACGCACGATAGAACGCGGGTAGCCTCTGATCCGCCCCACAAAGTCCAGCGTTCCGCCGAAGTCCAGCAGGGGTGAGTCCATCACCACGCAGCGCACTCTGTCGGCAAGCTCCGACTCGTAGAGCAGGTTAAGGCACATTCCGCCACCCATGCTGTACCCGTAGAGAACTGCATCATCCGCACCGTTGTCGAGGGCGTACTGCACTGCCGCTTCAAGGTCCCGCCACTCAGTCGCGCCGAGCCAGTGCCAGCCGTCCTCACTCGCGGGCGCGCCATCATCGTTGCGATAATTGATTGCGAGGATGGGCAATCCGGCATCCACAAGCGTAGGCATTATGCGCAGCGCCTCGTTCGGATGCGCCTCCCGCCCGTGCGCGAAAATCACCCAAGTGTTGCTATTTCCGGGAACATACCAGGCGGCGCATTCCCCCAATTCCGACTTGTAGCTAATCTTATCGAATGCAATGCCGTGTGCCGCTTCCGGGTCGTCGGGGTAGGCATAGATGTCGAGGCGCACTGCCTCAGCCGCGCCGATCGTCGTCGTCAAAGCCGTGTACTCGCGCATGGCGTAGCCATCGCCATACTCGCCATCACCTGAGTCAATCAATCCGCCCACCTGCCCATAGCCGTCGGCGCTGATGATACCAAATACGCCGTCATGCCGAATGTCCATCGCCCTCCCCTGCCCGTTCATGGCGCGCAAGGTGATCTGTCCGTCACCCTCGCTGCTGGCGATTATGTCAAAGGGCGGCGTCCCATGGCGCGAGGATAGGCTGCCGTCGCGTATAAGATTGGACAGATATATGCCGTATGCGATCGCAACCGCCACCAGCGCGACTAGGACAACCACAAGACCGATCGCTATTGCCATTCGATTCCTCTCAATCTTCGGCGGCTTGGGCAGGAAATCTGCGCTGCCTCCGTGTATAGTCATGCTAACTTGAAGGCGTGTCGCGGTTCAAATCCGCCAAGCCAAATCTGCGACTTAATTGCACATCAGGAGGGTGAAATATGAGCGGAATATGGCCCGGAGACCTGCGCTGTGTTGCCATGCTGAGCTTCGATGTTGACGGCGTTTCAGGTGCTCTCAACCAGAACCCGGATAGCGCGCGGCTGCCTAGCTTCATGTCCGCGCGCGAGTACGGTCCCAGTGTGGGCGCGCCCCGCATCCTGGATCTGCTCGACAAGTATGACATCAAGGCGAGCTTCTACATCCCCGGGTATGTCGCCGAAACTCACGAAGAGCTTGTGCTGGACATCCAGCGACGCGGTCATGAAATAGGGCATCACGGCTACATGCACGAGCCGCCTGCTACTCTGACGCGCGACCAGGAGGCTGCCGTGCTGGACAGGGGCAGCGCCATCCTGGAGCGGATTACAGGCGAAAAGCCACTGGGCTACCGCTCGCCGAGTTGGGAGTTGAGCGAGGATTCGCTTGCGCTGCTTGATGAACGCGGCTTCGTCTATGACTCCAGTCTGATGGGCAACGACATTCCCTACAAGGTGGACGCCGATGGCAGTGATATAGTGGAGATTCCGATACACTGGGAACTCGACGATGTACCCTACTTCAACTACTCGCCCGCACTTGGCGCGCGCAATGTGATGGCAGACCCCGAGCACTGTATATCGCGCCTGGTCGGCGGCATTCGAGGGCATGCACCACTACGGCCGCTCATTCGCCCTAACCATGCACCCCTACACCATCGGCAGACCCGGACGCCTTCGCATGCTGGAGCGACTCATCCAGTACATCCAGACCTTCCCCGGCGTCGCGTTCATGCGCACGATAGATGTGGCGCGCATGTTCGCGGAGTAAGCAGACAAAGGCGCATTGAGCGGCATTATCGCCTCACCCTAGCCTTGCCCCAGCGTCAGAATCATCGGAATAGCTATCAGGACGCTGAACGCCATCAGCGCGAACGGTTCACGGTAGTTGCCGCGGATATCATATATCCAGCCCACTAGCACCGGCGCTATCACGCCGAAGATGGCGCTCGTGGTCATCATCGTGCCCATGATTGAGCCGTAGTGCCGCCTGCCAAACAGGTCGGCTATCAGCGCGAAGCGCACCGGTATGGACGCGCCGAACCCGACGCCCCATGTAACTATGAAGATGGCGAGATGCCACAGCTCGGTGCTGAACGCGAAGACCATCGTTCCGACAAACTGCAAGAAGAGCGAGACTGCGATTACATGACGCTTGTCCAGGCGGTCGCCGAAGAAGCCGCTGCCCAGACGTCCTGCCACGCTGAATAATGACACACCTAGGATGGCGAAGCCCGCGATGTTTCTGCTAATGCCAAAACTCGTGATTGCCGGTATCTGGTGTATCGACGCCGAAATGACCATTCCTGACACGCCCATCGCAATCGCCAATTGCCAGAACACTCTACTGGACAGCGCCTGACGTGTGGTCATATCAACCTCGCTGGACAGCGCCGCCCTGCGGCGTGCGGCATCCTCCGAACCGGTCTGCTCATCCGGCTCTTCCGGCAGCGCGCCGTCCGGCAGCATGCCGTAGTCTTCCGGTCGGCTCTTCATGACGAACGACACTGGTATCCCGATTACCAGATGTCCGATGGCGACCACAACCAGTCCGGTGCGCCAGTCCGTAGTCGCGATAAGCCAGATGATCACAGGAACAAGCACGCCGCCCAGGCCCGCTCCCGCCATAGTGAACGACAGTGCCTTCGACCTGTTCTCTACGAACCAGTTGGCGACAGCGGTGGTTACAATCAGGAATGTGCCGAAGGACAGCCCAATGGTGAGCACCAGAAACGCAGCATAGAACTGCCACAATTCCTGTATCCTGCTCAGAAGGATGAAGCCCAGAGCTGTCAGGCCGGTACCGAAAAGCATCACATTGCGCGGGCCGAACTTGTCGACGAACCAGCCCACGAATGGGGATATTGCGCCGGATTCTGTGCGCTGGAGCGACATCGCCCCTGCTGTAAGCGCGCGGCTCCACCCGAACTGATCAATGATGGGGTCGAAGAACGCGCCGAATCCCTGCCAGAATGTGCCGGATGTGTACGCCTGGCTTATAGAGCCTGCCAGAACGATCCACCAGCCGTAAAATATGGGTTTCTTTGCTGACCGCTGGGATTCTGCCGATGCTGAAGTTCTTGGCGTCTGCTCGCCTGCGGTATCCGCCCCTGCGACATCTGAATCTACGGACGGCTTGCGATTGGCGCTTGAGCGTCTGCGAAATCCTAGCAAGACATCTCCATCGGGCGACCATTGCCACAGTGAACAGAAATTTGTGAATCAACCTTCGTATTTTATAACTTGCTGATTTGCCCTGTAAATGGAATTCCGTCTGTAGCGATGCCCAAGAGTGATGCGCCGAGCGCGGTTATTCGTAGCGTTGAAAGTCAGGTTTGCTGTACACTTTCTTGGGCGGCGCAACCGCCGATACGCAGCACACGGGTGAACCAGAACGATGCCAGATTATCCCCACTTAACCACAACAAGCCAACTCGACAGGCCGTTCATAGAGGCGCGACTGTTTCCTCTATGCGAGACGCTGCGAAGCGGCAACGCGGCAGACGGGCGGCTAAGTGGCCTTGCACTGTATTCCCTATTCTACGAACCCAGCCTGCTTACGCGAACGTCGTTCGAACGCGCGATGGGACTGCTGGGCGGGCAGATATATCATACGGAGGACGCCTCCCAGTTCTTCCCCGTGTCCAACGCAAGCCACATAGATAATGTCATCAAGATACTGGCGAGCATGCGGATTGATGTCGTGGTGCTGCGCAGCAGCGCGCCAGGAGTGGTGGAGCGCGCCGAGTTCGCCGACTCCTTGACGGTCATCAACGGGGGCAGCGCAGACGATCATCCCACGCAGGCGCTCGCCGACCTATACACCCTGCAACGCGAACTCGGCGGTATCGACGGTGTGAATGTCGCCGTCGTGGGCAGGCTGGAACATCGCAATGTGAATGCGCTGCTGCGAGGACTGGCGCTCTTCGATGACATCAGCGTAACGCTGATCGCGTCAAGCGGCGGCGTTGACCCCGATGTGCTCAACTACTGTCGCCAGCGCGGTATGTGTGTCAGCCTTGAGAATGATCTGGATACGCTTCAGGCGGCGGACGCCATATACCTGAACGCCCCGCGCACCGTTGCGCACGCGCGGCTGCTCCGCTCAAGGGGCGCGCTGAGCCTCCGCATAGATGGCGACTTTATGGCGAAGTTGAAGCCCCGCTGCATCATATTGGACCCCATGCAGCGCAGCGGCGATTTCGCAGTTGAGGTCGAAGACGACAGACTTGCTTTCTATCGCCAATCTGAGAATGCTCTGGTAATGCGCATGGCGATACTGGCAAACATGTTTGACCGTGGATAGGCGAAAGTAAGCGCATTATCTTGAGCGCGCGCGTATCATCATCTGGCATGCATTAGGCGTGCCACGAATGGCGCAGCAGATGGCCCCAGGGTGCCGAGCACGCGGCGAATATTCGTGTGCCGCAGCGTCGTCATGATGACCCTGCCGTGCCAGTCGAAGGCGACATCCTCGCCGATGTAATCGTCCAGCACTCCGTCAGACAGGAACTCGATCATCAGCCGCTCAATCTGGTCGTCCGTCAGCGTCTCGAAGAGCATACGCGCGTAGGAGCCGACCCGTAGCTCCCTACCGAACACAGCCTTCCAGTTCCGCTCGTAACCGCGCAGGTCGTTGGCTGTACACTTACCGCTTGAGATTGCGTTATGCGCTGATTCGGCAGCGATCCGTCCCGAAAGAAAGGCATAGTAGATGCCGCCGCCGGTCGTCGGCTTGACCAGCCCTGCGGCGTCTCCTGCCACCAGCACCCTATCCCCGTAGCTCGGCGATAGTGGGCGTATTGGGATCCCCCATGTTTGCGGTCTGCTCGCGATACTATCGATCTTGCCATCGGATTTAAGGCGCTCGATGAATCCCTCCATCTGCCCGTTAGCGCGGCGCCGGGGTGCCATGCCCACCAGCGCGCGCCCTTCCGAGAGCGGCACAAGCCACGCGAACGAGTTCTGCGCCGTGTCGCTTCCCAGATAGACTTCGGTTTCAGATAGGTCAGTAGCATCCGCTTCAACCTGATAGCCGACAAGATACTCGTCGTGCTTGCCAGCTTTGATGCCCGCCATCCTCAATAGAGGTGAACCAAACCCCTGACGCCAGAATCACAACACGGCAGTGGTATGTGTGGCGTCCGTCCTCTCGGATGACATCTATCTCCGCGTGTGCGTCTGTGATTCGGATGTCGGTTACTCGGGTGTTCAGTGTATATTCCGCGCCCGCTTGCTGCGCCCGTTCCGCGACCGAGTTCACGTAGGCGACGCGATTAACGATGTATGCGTGCGTCTCCTTGCGCTCAATCCTGTACGTCTGCCGCCCGGAGACACGATAGTCGCGGAACGCGCCTCGCCGTGGATATGCTCGGTCGCGGGCGGGAATAACTCGGCGCATTCCCTGCCGATGATGCCTGTGCAGAGCTTGTCGCCAATGTTCGTGCGCCGGTCCAGCACGGCAACGCTGATGCCTCGCTCAGCCAGCTCCAGCGCAGCCATGTTGCCGCACGGACCTGCGCCGATTACTATTACATCGTACAATGGAACGTCTCCTGATTGTATTCGAACCGAGATAGGCGGGAAAGATATGAAGCAGACCCTCCCTCGCATGCCCGCCAAAGGACAGCGTCGCAATCTGGAGGCTCAGTGGCTTGACTTGCTGGAGGCGGGCGAGATGCCTGGCGAGGCGATTCATCCTCAAGGCAGCGCACCGGCGACAGCTTTACGACGCCATTCGGCTGTTTACCAACGGGCTGTACTGGGAGTGCCACGAAGTTCTGGAAGAGGTATGGCTCGAAACTCCGTACCCGCAGCGCTTCTTCTGGTCCGCGCTGATAAAGTTGGCGGTCGGCTTTCATCATGTCGGACGGAACAACCTCCACGGCGCTCGCGTCAAGTTGGGGGACGCCGTGCGCCTGTTGCCGCTATTTCAGCCGCAATGTCTCGGCGTGGATACCGCAGCAGCCCTTGCGGACGCTCTGCGTTGGCAGCAAGACTTGAACGCCCTACCCCTGACTGGGCGGCTATTGATGACCTGCCCAAGCCCCTCATCACCTTCAAGGCACAGCGATAGAGTTACTCGCTCGTTGCTGCGACATCGGCGTACATAGCATCGGTCTTCGCAGCCATGATGAAGTCGTTGCGATGCAGTCCGCGAATCTTGTGCGTCCACCAGTCAACGCCAACGCGCCCCCACTCCACAGTGATACGCGGGTGGTGTCCCTCTGCATCAGCGGACCTACCCAGTTCGGTAGCAAAGTCGAGCGCTCCGCCAAAGTCCCTGAACCTGAATGCTCTTTGCAGTCGCGGTATGCCGTCCATGTCAGTAAGTTCCCAGTCTGAGACCTGCGGGTGCAGCTCGGCGACCTCTTCATCCGTTACGCGCGGCGAGTCCCTGCGGCAGGCAACGCATTTCTCTCTTGCAGTGTAACCATCTCGATGTCCTCCATGCTCAGGTGCAATATCGCTCACTGGACTAAATAGATAGCGCTCTGATGTCAAGATGGTTCGCCCGCACGCTCGGAGCATGAGGCAAACGGCGCGCTTGACGGCATTTGCCCTGCCGCATACACTTCCGCCATGAAATTGACTGGATATTGGGCCAGGCTTTGGCTGAGTCTCTGAAATAATTCGCTTAAAGGAGATTTCTATGCGGCAGAATCGTGTCAAGAAACTTATGCGCGAAGGCAAGTTGGCGCTGGGCAAGTACGTCAGCCTTGCCGACCCGCAGGTGGTGGAGATTATAGGCATCGCTGGGTTCGACGCCGCGTTCATCGACATGGAGCACACCGACTTCGACTTGCGGATAGTGGAAGAGATGATACGCGCATCAGACCTCGCGGGCGTTACCTCGATGGTGCGCGTCCCTGACAACGACGCAAAGCTGATTCTCCGCATACTTGACATGGGCGCAGAGGGCATCATCGTGCCGCATATAGAAGGACTTGAGGAGCAAAGCGCGCAGTGGACGCCGTTCGTTACCCGCCCCTGGCGATCGCGGCGGCCGCAGGCGGCACAAGGCGGCGCGCTTCGGAGCAGTGCCCTGGAACGAGCATGTACGGCAGTCCAACGACGAGATTGTGCTCTCCGTGATGACGGAGGATGACAAGGGTATCAACGACGTGGAGGCGATTGCCGCGCTGGAAGGCGTTGACCTGATTTCCATCGGGCCCACCGACCTGTCACAGGCACTCGGCGTTACTGATCCTGCTGACCCGCGCCTCCGAGACAAGGTGAACGAAATCGCGCTCAGGTCATGGCTATCGGCAAGGCGAAACTGCAAATACCCATGGGCATGCGGCGCTGCCCTTAACCCCGCAGGACTTGCTTGACCTAGGTGTTGGCTACACGCATGTCGCGCCCGCGCCGCCCGCAATTCTCATGAAACAATTCATTGACAGTGTGGGCGAGATTCACAAAGCGGTGGGCAGATAGTCGCCTGAGCATCCGGCGAATCACGCAAGGAGGCGAATAGACAATGCGCGCTCTCGTGCTGAACGGGGATAAGTTTGCGGTTGAAGAGCGCCCCATGCCTGAGCCTGATGTCGGCGAGGTCTGTTCCGCACGCACTACTCCGGATATGCGGGACAGACCTGCATGCTCCGGACCTGAACTTCTACACTCCCGGCGTGGTCATAGGCCATGAATTCGCGGGCGAAGTCGCCGCCGTCGGGCCTGGCGTTGAAGAATGGCAAGCGGGCGACAGGGCAACCGTCCATCCTAGGGGCAACTTCTGCGGCACATGCTACGAGTGTCGGCATGGCTGGCCAACATTTGCAGCTCAGACGAATTTGCGCCCCGGCTGGCAGTGTGCGAGACGGCGGCATGGCTGCGTATGTGAGCCTTCCGGCGGGCAAGCTGCGACACCTTCCGGACGAAGTTTCCATGCTGGAAGGCGCATGGGCAGAGACCGATTTCGATTGCGCTTCGCGGCGTCAGCAGGTCCGGGTTCGGCGTCGGACAGCGAACTGTCGTGATTGGCGCGGGTCCCATCGGGCTGCTGACCACGATGCTTCTGCGACACGGCGGCGCGAGCGACATCACCGTGATTGAGCCGAGCGAGATGCGCCGCACCAAGGCAGAAGAGGTTGGCGCCGACCTGACAATCAACCCATTTGACGACGATCCCACGGCAATTTTCGGTGCCGACATTGATATGCCCGACAACGTCTTCGAGTGCTCCGGAGCTTACACCGCAGTTGATACGGCAGTGGACATTGTCCGACCACACGGACGGGTAACTCTTCGTCGGTGTCGCTTCCGGCGCTGTCAGCTTTCACTCGCTGCGCGCCCTCACGAAGGAAGTAACGATTAGAAGCACTTCCAGGGGTGCGGACGAGATAGTCACCGCGACAAGACTGCTGGCGCGAAAGGCGCTCGATGTGCAGGCGCTCACGAGCGCAGTCGTGCCGTTGGAAGGCGCGCTCGACGCATTGGAACGGCTGGCGCAGGGCAATGCCATCAAGATACTGGTGCAGCCAACTGAATAGAGAAGTCAAATAAGAGGCCCAAGAGGGAGCCAAAAAGGGAGAACATACAATGCGCTGCGCTCGTACTTAACCAAGAAGGTGGATACGCGGTAGAAGAACGCCCCGATGCCTGAACGGACACGGCGAAGTGCTGTTCCGCACGCACTACTCGGTATATGCGGCACCGACCTGCACGCAGTGCAGCTGGCAGGTACGAGATGGCGTGGTCATCGGGCACGAGTTTGCGGGCGAGGTCGTATCTGTCGGACCCGGCGTTGAAGGCTGGCGTGCTGGCGATCGCGCTGCCGTGCATCCCAAAGGCAACGTCTGTGGCGTATGCCCCGAGTGCCGAGACGGTCTGTCCAATCTGTGCAGCGCCCCGGACATCGGCGGCACAGCGGGCATCGGCAGCAACGGAGGCATGGCCGCGTATGTGAGCATTCCGGCGGGCAAACTACGCAGCCTGCCCGATGAAGTCTCGCTGCTCGAGGGCGCGTGGGTCGAGCCGATCGCTGTCGCGTTGCGCGGCGTTTCACGCTCCGGCTTCAAGGTCGGACGGCGGGCCGTCGTTGTGGGCGCGGGTCCCATAGGACTGCTGACCGTGATGCACCTGCGGCTTGGTGGGGCGAGCCAGATTACTGTGCTGGAACCCAGCGAGATGCGCCGCGCCAAAGCCGAGGAACTCGGCGCAGACATCACCATCAACCCGATCACAGACGATCCCACCGAGATATTTGGCAATGACATCGAGCGCCCCGACTACGCATTTGAGTGCTCCGCCGCGCCCTCCGCACTCGATACGGCAGTAGAAATTCTGCCCCACAATGGCACGCCTGGTGCTGCTAGGCGTTGCGACATTCCCGATCAGTTTTCGCTCGTACACCATCATTCGCAAGGAATTGACCGTTACCGGCAGTTCCAGCTATGTGGAGGAATTCGACATCGCAATTCGCCTGCTCGCGCGCAAGGCGCTCGATGTGCAGCCGCTCACCAGCGATGTCGTAGGGCTTGAGGGCGTGCTCGATGCTATGGAGCGGCTTGAACAGGGGAAGGCAATCAAGATTCTCGTGCAGCCGAATGACTAAATAATGATCAATTAAGGTAAAGGCAGAGGACATGAAAACAAAACCTACAATCACCGCCTTGGAAATCGTCCAGTGGGAAACTGAACTGAAGGATGTGGAGCCGGAGCCGACATAGGCATCCCGACTTACAAGCCCGGCAGCAAGATCAGGCGCCGCAGCCACGGACTGCGTATCACACGGATTGGGAATTACGGGCGAGTACATAGGCGGCTCAGCGATGGACTATACGGCAATCGCAGGCTTTGCCAGGGTACTACTGGGACGCAATGCGCTGGGGCGGGAGAATCTACAACGACCTCAAGCAGGCAATGAGGCAGCAAGCGCGATTAGGAACGGGCGTAGTGGACATCGCTCTCTGGGACCTCGCTGGCAAGTATTACGAAGCCCCTGTTTATGAGTTGCTCGGCGGTTCTCAGAAGAAGCTACCCTGCTATGCCAGCACTTATGTCGGTGATTCGGAGCCGGCGGTCTGAACACCGCTGAAGCATACGCCGACTTTGCCGAATACTGTCTGGAAATGGGCTATCCCGCCTACAAGATTCACGGCTGGCAATCCGCGCCAATCAAGGATCAGATTGCCATCGTTGAGGCCGTCGGCAAGCGTGTGGGCGGCAAGATGGACCTGATGCTCGACCCGTTCTGCGCCATCAACACCTTTGGCGATGCCCTCAAGCTGGGGCGTGCGTGCGATGAGTACAACTTCTTCTGGTACGAAGACCCGTTCAGAGACGGCGGCGTATCCAATGCACGCTCACAGGAAGCTGCGCCAGATGATCAAGACAGCCATTCTCCAGCTTGAGCATGTGCGGGGTCTGGAGTCGCATGTGGACTTCATCGAGGCGGAAGCGACCGATTTTGTGCGCGCCGACCCCGACTACGACGGCGGCATCACCGGTGTGATGAAGATTGCCCACGCATCCGAGGGCTTCGGCCTCGATGTCGAGCTGCATGTAACGGGACCCGACAGAAGGCATCTGATGGCGTCGATGCGAAATAGCAACTATTACGAGATGGGGTTGCTGCATCCCAAGTTGGGACCGAGCCATACGCCGGTGTTCAAGTGCGGCTATGAGGATGCCATGGACTCCATAGACGAGAACGGCTGCGTGGATGTGCCGGAAGGCGTGGGGCTCGGCGTCGAATACGACTGGGACTTCATTAAGGCGCACGAAACCGACAGAGTCGTGTACAAGTAGTCACGCTTTCGGCGCTTGAGGATGATTGGGCGCTTGGGCTTGGCACTGGGAATCATAGAGGGCGGCTATATAGCCGCCCTCTATGCCTTTACCATTTTCGACTTAATGCTTCCAGTCTCTTTAGAAAGCCCGAGACCACATCCCGTCACGCCCCTACACTATCGAACGAAGGTTGCAATTGCGATAAGCAGTGCGATAATCGCAAAGCCTATGCCAATCAGCCAGCGCATTTCGGAGAAACGCTTGTCTATGTCGGCACGCAAAGCCTGCAAATCGCCACGCCAAAGGTTCAGCAAGTCCACATGACTTATCCTGTCATGCGGTTCGTTTCCTGACTCCGAAGTCTGTCCCCTTGTCTCAACAGCCATATCATTCCTGTCGCACTTCCGCCAGTTCGCCGTAAATCATAGTCTATTACTACGATAACTGTGAACTATTTATTAGTCAAGGTCTAATACGGATACGGCATAACGCCCATCGGCACTTCAATAAGCGTTGGAGCATCGATGTCCAGCGCCTCTTCGAGCGCGGCTTGCAACTCGTTGGCGTTCTCTTTGCCCACGCGCACGCCCCTCGCGCCGAACGCATCGGCGAGCCTCACGAAATCAGGGTTGTGCAACTCCGAGCCATACACGCCCCTCGAAGCGATCCGTCTGGTCGCGCCTCACATTGCCGAACGCGCTATCGTTGAACACCACGACCACCGCATTGATGCCGTACATCACCGCTGTCGCCAATTCCTGCACGTTGTACATAAAGCCACCATCGCCCGACACTGCCACCACTGCCTTGTCAGGGTTGGCGACCTTCGCACCCAGCGCGCATGGATACGCGAAGCCTAGGTTGCCAAAGTAAGACGATGTCAGGTATGTCTTCGGCTCATATACTGGGAAACGCGTGCGGCTGTAGTAGCCCACCTGCGTCATGCCTGCCACCAGTATGCCGTCATCCGGCATCGCGGCGCGCACGGCATTGGACAGCGAGTGCAGCGGCTCCAGGGCGCGGCCCTCGCCAAAGAACTCTTCGCGCATCTCTTCGATTTCAGCTTGACGACTCTCACTCGCGGGCTTGATGACTGAGACCGCCTTGAGCAACTCTTCAAGAGTCATCTTGGCGTCGCCCGCAATGCCGAAGGTATTCTCGTAGTTCCGCCCAAGCTCGGCTTCGTCTATGTCTATCTGCACAACCCTCTGACCCTGCAGTATCTGTGGAGTCTGGATTCGAGTGCCTACGGCGAGAATGACATCATGATCCGCCATACGATCATGATATGGATCGATGCGACGCGGCACGCCTAACGACAAATAGTGCCTGTCGGAGATCGCGCCCTTGCCCTCCGCCGTCTCGATTACGGGCGCTTGCAGGTATTCGGCGAGTGCGAGCAAGGCATCGTTCGCGCCGGACAAATTAACACCGCCGCCCGCGTATATCAGCGGATTCTTGGCGTTGGCTACAATGCGCGCGCCCTCTTGGATGCTGTCCGCGCTTGCGGCTTGGCGCTGGTAGTTGACGGGTTCGAGCAGCTCGATTTCTGCTACATCGGCGAGCGTCTCCGGCGGTATCTCAATCTCCACCGGGCGAGGCCTGCCCGACTTGAGCTGGTAAAACGCCTCATGCACCGCTTCGGGCACATCGCGCGGGTCGAGAATGCGCTGCGCCCACTTGGTCACAGGGCGAATCGTGTCAGAGCTGATCGTTGACTTCGTGCAACACCCCGCGGTCACTCCCAATCATGTCACGCTCCACCTGCCCAGCCACCACCATGATAGGCGAGGATGCTGCGTATGCCGTGCCGATTGCCGCAGATGCGTTCTGCAGGCCCGGACCCGGCACCACAAGCGCAGTGCCTATGTCGTCCCCCGAACGCGAGTAACCGTCCGCCATGTACGCAGTTGCCTGCTCGTGCCGCGTGGTGATGAACTTGATACCCGTCTCTTGTGCAAGAGCGTCAAGAGCGTGATAGAGCTGGACTCCCGGAAGCCCGAATATCACCCGCACACCCTCTCGATATAGCTGCTTTGCCAGTGCCTGTCCGCCGGTCATCTGAGGCATTTATCTTCGTTACCTTTCTATCTGTATTGTGCCTTGATCTGTGGATTTCGCATGTCCAATTCAAGCAAAGTGCCCATGCCTCACGGACAAGGGCACTTGACTTAATTTACGGTCTGTCTGTTAATTCCTGGTTGCGACATAGTCCGTGCGCGCACGCTCCAATGCGACCGCTCTCGCCTCCAATAGCTCGTCTTTCTTGCCTTCCGACCACACCTGCGACCGGTCTAGGCTGGCGATTGAGCCCTGGAAGTGCGGCATCACGTAGCGCGCGACCAGTTCGTAGCTGTGCAGCACCTGTTCTCCTCGTGCCCCATTCGGTCGCCTGAATCATGAAGCCGCCGAATCCGCCGCTCTCTTGATCGAGCGCTTGATGGTAGCAATGAGATCGTCAGGCGTGCCAACGCACCACGCTCCGTTCTCAGTCATCATATCGATGATCTGTCGCGGTCTGCGTTGCTGTTCACATCAAAGTCGAGCTGATGCCCCAGCGTTTCACGAAGTAGTCGTACTGGTAACGTCCGCGTTCGCGCGCGCCTGCTCAATGGCTTCCTTCTTGCTCTCCGCGAGATGCACATGCATGACTACGCGCCATTCATTGCGGTCCATCGTGTTGCCATTCTCCTCGGCGGTCTCCTCGGCGATCTTCCAGAAGTCCGCGAGGTTGGTGGCTATGCTGTCGCCGCGCGTTACGCTCACGGACAGCACACCTGCGCCATGCTTGCCTGCCAGCACCATTCCTGACGGAGACTGCGCCGCTGCTACTGCAATGGGGAAGTGAGGCTTTGTGTAGGGGCGCAGATGCAACTGAGCTTCTACAAGATTGAACCACTCCGACTTGTATGTAATAGGCTCGGTTTCCCTGAGCAGACGCATTATCAGCGTCATCGACTCGTCCATACGCCGCCTCTGCACTACGGGGTCAATTCCGAGCATAGCGGCATCCGTTACGAGCGCGCCGGACCCACACCGAGCATCACGCGCCCGCGCGTCAGGTGGTCGAGCAGCACCATGCGGTTGGCGACCATCATCGGATGATGGTATGGCAGGCTGATGACACCCGTTCCGAGCTTGATATTTCGCGTGCGCTCCGCGGCAGTCGCGATGAACACTTCCGGCGAGGCAATAATCTCCCAGCCCGCGCTGTGATGCTCGCCTATCCAGGCTTCATCGTAGCCAAGTTGGTCGAGCCACTGGATAATCTCAAGGTCGCGTTCAAGGGATAACGTTGGGTTCTCGCCTTTCCAGTGGAACGGCGCCATGAATATCCCAAACTTCATTCTTTCGGGGAGTGTCATACGTGCATCCTTTGCCTGTTCTGCCTGCTACATGAGGCGCGGATGAAGCGGTTTTCGCTTCGCAAAGATTTTAGCACGATGCCTATGTCAGGGCAATTGCAGCCGCTACATGCCGCCAGCGCCTCGCGTTCCCCTAAAGTCCGACAGTGTTCCCCTCAAATGGCAAGTCCCCTCTCATGGAGAAGAGCAGTTCCGTCCTGAACTAGCCCAGGGGATAGGGAATGACATCGCCTACCTACGGCCCGAATGGAACCGCTATACCCTCGCGCTCGGCGGCTGACGATTACGCCCCCCGTCTGCAAAATGTGTGATAAACTCGCCGATATTTATTTCACGTATCAGGAGATAGCGATGGTCCCGCCTGACAGTTTGTTCGGAGTAATCCCCACATGGGTAGGCGTGTATCTGGCATCTATCGCCGCATTCGCCGTTGCGGGCTACTTCCTGTACCAGCGCGTCTTCAGGCTTGTGCTGCTGGGCAAGCCGGCAGGTCGCTTCGATCAGCCTCTGCGCCGTCTATTCGGCGCGCTGCCGCTCATCTTCGGGCAGCGCAAGGTGCTTCAGCGCGTATCCATTAGAGACCGCGCGGGGCTGGCGCATTTCTTCATATTCTGGGGCTTTCTATCTTTCACCCTGAGCTATGTCCTGTTCATATTCGGAGACTCTCTTTGGCATCCGCTTTCGTCCAAAATACTGACCGAGGCAGGACTCAAAGCATTCACCTCTATCTGGACATTCTGGCGGTTCTGTTTCTCGTAATACTTGTAGCAGCGGCAATTCGTCGCTGGGTCATGACTCCCAGTCGCCTGAAATTCGACCTCACACAGAAGAAAGAATCGGGCATTATCCTCGGGCTGATAGCCATGCTGATGGTATTCACTCTACTGACCGAAGCATTCTACGTCGCAGGCGGCGGCGCCGGCCCGCATGCGGTTGCGCCCGTAGGGCGGAGCGCTCGGCAGCGCACTTAGCGGTTCAGTGAGCGCGGAAGCCGCCAATGTGTTGCAAGCAGTCTTCTGGTGGGGGCACCTCGCCATAATCCTTGGCTTCGCAATCTACATTCCCCTCTCCAAGCACATGCACCTCGTTGGTGCGCCCATCAACTTCTTCACACGCTCCCTCGAAGCGCGCGGCACACTGCCAACACCGACCGACCTGGAGACCGCCGAGGTCTTCGGCGCGTCCCGCGTACAGGACTTCACGCAGCGTCAACTACTGGACGGCTACGCGTGCGCCGTCTGCGGACGCTGCACCGACGTCTGCCCCGCCAACATCAGCGGCAAGATTCTCTCGCCGATGCACATCGTGGAAAACCTGAAAGAGCACACTCTCGAAACCGCGCCCGGCGTCATCGCAGGCGAAGACGAGCAAGCCGAGAAGCCGCTCATAGGTCGCTGGATTCAGGAAGAAGCGCTGTGGGACTGTCTGACCTGCGGCGCATGCGTGGAAGAATGTCCCGTCGGCGTAGAGCACATCAGCACCATCATCGACATGCGCCGCTTCCTTGTCATGGAGAAGGCGGAGATGCCGGAGACTGCGATGAACGCCCTGATTAGCATGGAACAGCGCGGTCACCCATGGCGAGGCACGACATACACGCGCACCGACTGGGCGGAAGGCTTGGACATCCCACTGCTCGCCGACCATCCCGAAGCGGAAGTGCTCTTCTGGGTGGGCTGCACTGCTGCGCTCGAACAGCGCAGCCAGAACGTAGCACGCTCAATGGCGTCCGTCCTGAAGCGCGCAGGCGTGGATTTCGCCATACTCGGTATGGAGGAGGGATGCACCGGCGATCCGGCGCGTCGCATGGGCAACGAGTACCTCTACCAGATCATGGCGCAGCAAAATATAGACACCCTTAATAGCTACAATGTGAAGAAGGTCGTCACCATCTGCCCGCACTGCTTCAACACCATCAAGAACGAGTACCCACACCTCGGCGGAGACTTCGAAGTACTGCACTACAGCGAGTTCGTAGCGGAGCTAATTACAGATGGGCGCATCAAGCCCCTTGTCGAGATTAACACCACCCTCGCCTACCACGACTCCTGCTATCTTGGGCGGCACAACGGCATCTACGACCAGCCACGTCAGATAGCGGAAGCCATACCGGGATTGAAGCTTGTGGAGATGGAACGCTGCCGCAATCAAGGATTCTGCTGCGGTGCGGGCGGCGGCCACATGTGGATGGAAGAGAGCCGAGGCAGCCGCGTCAACCACGTCCGCACCGACCAATACCTCGAAACCGAGGCCGATACGGTAGGCGTATCCTGCCCCTTCTGCCTCCAGATGTTCGAAGAAGGCATCGGCACCAAGGAAGTGCAAGACACCCGCAGAGCAAAAGACCTGCTGGAGATATTGGACGAAAGCCTGGGATCCGGGGATTAATTTCTGTTGGACCTGAGGGTGATATTCACCCACACAGATCAAACACCTCTTCCATCGCGGCCCACCACTCGCTCGCTTGCAGCCGCACCGCACCTGAAATTCCCGCATCAGCGTCGTCCCACTCCGCCGCGCGCGCGTGTAAGCCTCTGTATAGCGCTGAAAGTCGCGCTCCAGATCGAAATCATCCGGTGTCTCTAAGTACATGACAGCCGGCTGCCACGCAGGAATATCTTCATCTTCGAGATACCAATCGACCTCAGCCCTTCAAGCACCTCATCCCATACCGCGCGGTGATACTCCTTATACCGCTCGATAACCTCGGCATCATCCCGCAGGTCTAGCGCCATCGCATATGACTTCATGCTGCCCTCCCGTGCGTCGTCCTGCCCCGCAATTACGGGGTAGGCGCATTCTCCGGCAATAACCCTTCGTGCTTTAACTCCGCCCACAGGTCCGCCGGAATCTCATAGCTCACCATGTCGAAGTTCTCCTGCACCTCATCCGCGGACACCGCCCCCGGTATCGTCGCCGCAACCGCCGGGTGAGCCAGTCCAAACTGCAGCGCGGCGGCCTTCAGCGGCACGTCATGCCGGTCGCACACAGCCTTAATCTTGCGCGCCAGATCCAGCACTTCGGGAGGCGTACTCTGGTAGAAGTAAGTCGTGCCCTCGCCAAGATCGGACGCCAGCACTCCGCTGTTGTACGGCCCGCCCAGTATGATGCTCATGCCCTTTTTCTTCGCATAGGGGCAGCAGGTCTTCCAAGCCAGTATGATCGAGCAGCGTGTAGCGCCCCGCCAGCAGAAAGCAATCGAAGTCCGCCTCGCGCCCAAACTGCGCCAGCGGCTCGCAGAAGTTCATCCCTGCCCCAATCGCACCGATGACGCCTTGCGAACGCAACTCTGCCAATGCCGGGAACGCCTCCTCTACCACCTGCTGATGAAAGTCGTCCGGGTCGTGTATCAGCAGCACATCGACGCGGTCGAGTTCCAGCCGCTTCAGGCTCTCCTCGAACGAGCGCAGCACACCGTCTCGGCTGAAGTCGAATACCACATCCATCTGCGGCAGGTCGCGGAAAATGTCTGCGCCGGGCGCAGCGTCCACCGGATTCAGCACACGCCCAACCTTTGTTGATAGCACATAAGAATCGCGTTCAACGCCCGACAGCCCATTCGCGTAGTATCGCTCGCTTCTGCCAGCGCCATACAGCGGGGCAGTATCGTAATACGAAATCCCTAGTTCCAGCCCCTTGGCGATGCTCTCTATTGAACGCTGCTCAGCGACATCCACAGACATCGACCCGAACGGCGCGCCGCCTACCCCGAGCCTCGATACCATAACTCCCGTCGAGCCAATCTCAGCCTTGTCCAGTGGGTTCATATCGCATCCTCCAGCTTGTATTCGCCATATACTAACGCAACCACTTGGATAATCACAGAGTCCCGCATGTACAGGGCCACTATGCGTCGAACCTCTGCGTGTTATAATCGGCTTGCTTGCCATAGTGCGCCTCACTGCGCCCGATGGAGAAAGGTCGGAAAATCTGGTGCGACCCTCAACTCTGCTCGAAATAAGAAACGCTCCACACCTCGTCGCGCTCGGATATCGCGATTACCGGATGACATGGACGGCGAATATGTTCTCAGGCGCCGCGATGTGGACATTCATCGTAGCAAGTTCGTGGTTCACCCTAAGCAAAGTCTGACTCTTCCGGCTGGGTGGGCATCATAACCTTCGCCTCGATGATTCCCTTCCTCATCGTATCCCCCTTTGGCGGCCTGATGGCAGACCGCATCGACCGGCGCACGCTCGCGCAGCTCATGCTGCTCGCCAGCTTTTTCGTAACTGCGATTCTTACCGTACTCGTAATCTCCGGCGAGGTGCAACTGTGGCATGTCGCTGTCCTGGCGTTCCTGGGCGGCGGATTCCGTGCCGTCCAGGAACCGACAGTCACAGCGCTCATCCCGAACCAGGTGCCGCAAAGCGTTCTGCTGAATGCCATAACTCTGAACGCCGCTACTCGTCATGGCGCGCGCTTCTTCGGGCTTCTCATCGCCGCCCCGCTTATGGCCATCCCCACCATGGGCGTCGCGGGGGTCCTGGTGCTCAGTGCCCTTCTAGCCGGAGTCAGCACGCTGATGATGTCTCTGGTGAAGACTAGGTCCCGCGGCGAGGGCGGAACGGGACATGGCACAATGCAATGGGTGTGGGACCTGGGGGACGGCTTCGCATATATTTTTCAAGAACAAGACGATAGCCCTGTTTATGGCGCTGGTTGCTCTCCATTGCGCTCTTGTCATGTCCTTCGAATCCATCATGCCCGTGTTCTCTAGGGAAAGTCTGGGCGCTACCGACGGATCAATCCTTGGATACTTGGTGATGGGTTTCGGAGCAGGCTCCCTTGTCGGAATACTCCTCTTGGCGGGCGTTCGCAGCGAGAAATTAAAGGGGCAGCTTCTGGTCTGGACCGGTCTGGGGAGCGGCTTGGCGCCCATTATTCTCGCGCTGTCATTCAACGCGCCAATGGGCGTATTGGCAAGCGCAGGGATGGGTCTTTCACAGGCGACTTTCATGGCCCTAACGAGCGCCTATGTGCAGACCATTGCTCCCGACAGGTTGCGGGGCCGAATTTCCAGCCTGTACATACTGTTCGCAGGAGGCATCATGGCTTTTGCCAATCTCGGCTACGGATTCGCTGCCGATGAGTTCTCTGCGCCTCCAATTCTATTGATTACTGGCCTTATTTTCATCGCGTAGTCCCTTGCCCTTACAGCAGGCAGCCAATCTTGCGAAGTATTTACCGCACAGGGCAGGCAGTACCGGCGTAATTCGTCAATCGGCGCAATCACTGAGTAGATAAAGAATCTATGAGCATCAGAAAAGCAGTCATACCCGCAGCAGGTTTCGGCACTCGATTCCTGCCCGTAACGCGCACTATCCCCAAGGTGATGATCCCCGTGCTGAACGAACCTGCCATCCAGTTCTCCGTGAGGGAAGCGGCAGACGCGGGCATCGAGCACATCGTGTTCGTCATCTCCCGAGGGCAGGAAGCCACCAACGATTACTTTAAGCCAGTGCCTGCGCTGGAGGACGCACTTGAGCAACGCGGCAATACGGAACTGCTGAACGCCATGCGCGACATATCGTCCATGATCGAAACCAGCTTCGTATATCAGGACGAGCAGCTTGGACTGGGACACGCCGTCCTCATGGCTAAAGATGAGATTGGTGACGAGCCCTTCGCCGTCTTCCTGCCAGACGACATCATCTGGGCAGACTCGCCACCCATTGGCGATATGATTAAAGTCTTCTCGGAGCAGAAAAGCAGCGTCATCGCCGTCAAGCAGGTTCCCGACGAAGCCATCCCAAATCTCGGCGTCATAGACCCGGAACCACTGAACGACAACGTGTATCGCATCAAAGGCATGGTGGAAAAGCCACGCCTAGAGGACGCGCCGTCCAACCTGGCCATCGTCGGGCGCTATGTGCTGACGCCTGAAGTCTTCGATGCCCTGGAACAAGCGCCCCCGGGTGCAATCGGCGAAATCCAACTGACCGATGCCATTGAAGCCGTGCGCGCCGAGCAGGGCGCCTATGCCTACAAGATCGTCGCAGACCACTTCGATGTTGGAACGCCCTTAGGCATGCTGAAGGCGTCCGTTTATGCCGCCCTGAAGCGCGATGATATGGCACGCGAACTCAAAGCCTGGCTCAAACCTATGCTCAACAGTTGACGCTTATCAATTATCAATTCCGAATATGAACTTACACAGACGCTTCCAGCAACCGACTACTGATAACTGGCAACAATCACTAAGGAGTTTGACATGGACAAGGCGCTGAACGGCATCCGAATAGTTGATATGACACAGTATGAAGCCGGCACATCCTGCACTCAGATGCTTGCATGGCTCGGCGCGGATGTGGTCAAGGTAGAAAACCCTGGGAGGGGCGACCCCGGTCGCACAATCGCTGGCTCGCCGGCGATTCAAACTACTTCCTGAACTTCAACTCCAACAAGCGTAGCGTCACGCTCAACCTGAAGACCGAACGAGGCAAGGAGCTGCTGCTCGACCTGGTTAAGCAGGCAGACGTCGTCACTGAGAACCTGTCGCCCGGCGCGATCGAGCGCATGGGACTCGGCTACGACACCCTGTCGGCAGTGAACCCGCGCATCATTCTTGCCCGCATCAAGGGCTTCGGCACATACGGACCCTACAGCAACATCAAGAGCTTCGACCCAGTAGCGAAGGCGGCAGGCGGCGCATTCTGCGCGACCGGAGAAGCCCGATGGTCCTCCCATGAAACCGGGACACTCCGTCGGCGATTCCGGCACCGGAATGCACGCCTTGGTCGGCATACTCGCCGCCCTCTGGCAGCGCCAGACGACCGGCAAGGGCCAGCAGGTCGAGGTCTCCATGCAGGACGCGATGGTAAACTTCGGGCGCACCACCATGACCCGCTCCGAACAGGGCACCGTGCCGCAGAAGCGTACCGGCAACAGCTTCGGCAAACAGGCCGGGAGAGTCGAGGGGCAGCATTCCGTCTGCGTCGCGCCAGCTTCGGCGGGCTATGCGCTATGTCATCTGATTGCCTTCCCCGACGCGCGGCCAATGTGGAGCGCGCTACTGCGACCGCGCAATCCGACAGGCCCGACCTGCTCGAAGACCTCGCTTCTCCGCGACACCCGAGCAGTACGTAGAGATGCAGAGACGAATTAACACTACCCTCTCATTGAGTCGGGGACACGACTGCAGGCACGACAAATTTCGAGTCTCATGCGCATCCTCGGGGAATTGCATCGGTGCATCCCCGCCAGTGCCTGCTTCACGCCCATAGACAGTCTACTCCGACGAACAACCGTGCTTGAGCGCGAGATGCTTTGTCAGCGTGTTTACGCCTGCGGCCGGCCGCGCATTTTCCCGTTCAGCGTGGCCCGGCTGCCCAATCAAGATGTCGGATTCGCATGTTGATTTCAAAGCCGCGCCGCTCTTGGGCGAGCACAACGCAGAGGTGCTGGGAGAGTTCCTGAACGGCAACGGAGAATCGCTGGAAGCACTCCACTTGGAAGGCGTGATCTAGTCGCAACCACGGCTCAACAGGTATGAGTATCAATGACAATTCTGGTAGTAACACCAATCCCTGAGGAATACGAAGCCTTCACGAATGTGCTCGCAGACCTCGGACATTCCGGCGTCAGTCGCGAGGTCGGAAAGCTTAAAGCAACGGTATTCGACGAAGGCAAGATAATTGTCGCACCAGGAGGGCTGGGGAAAGCGCAGTTTGGCGTGCAGACGCAGCACCTCATCGACAATCTCGGCAACATCAGCGTAGTCGTGTGCGCTCGCGGACCCTGCGGCGGCTAGACGATGACACGCTGTCGGTCGGCGACGTCGTTGTCGGCACGCATACAGTCGAGCACGACTTCAACCGCGGTTAGCGGTATGGCCCTCATCAAGCTCCCGCTGTCCAACATTCGAGGGCGACGCCGGGCTGATTGGAGCATTAAAGTGTATTGCTGATCGGAGCGCCCTGCCCTGCAACCTGCGCTTCGGCGGCATCGCAAGCGGCGACGAAGGCATCGCAAGCGAAAAGCGCATCCGCGAACTCAGAGAAAGCACCGGCGCGATCGTCGTCGCATGGGAAGGCGCGGGCGGCGCTCGCGCAGCTCAGCTCTCCGGCATCCCCTTCCTTGAAATTCGCGGCATCTCCGACGGCGCAGGCGAGAACGCCATGGAAGAGTTCTGGGCAAACATACCCATCGCCGTTGCCAACGTCGCCGCCGTCGTCCGGGAACTTGCCCGCCGCCGATGATCGGCAAGAGTATAGCGTGCGCCGCCGATCTAGCGAAACAGCGCAAGAATCGACCGCCGCGCTTCCCAGCCAGAGCAGCGCCGTTGCAATCAATGGCTTGTCGCCCATCAGCAGGTCTTCCGGGTTCTCGCCGGCATCCGCGCTGCCGCTCAGCATGATGTAGCGGAACAGCCCGAACGCTACAAAGGGAATAGTGAGCATCATCGCGTCGTTGTCGGGCTAGATTCGGCGCGGTGAATGTGTACAGCGAGTAACCGATGAGGGATGCCGTAGCAGTGATGACTATGAGCATGTCTAACGATTCGACTGTGTACCGGCTGAGCGAAGGGCGCTGGCTTGCGGCATCCTCCCCTGCGGAAACAAGCTGACTGCGTCTCTTGATAAGCGCGAGCAGCAACGCGGCAAGCGCAGTGCATAGGTAAAGCCAGGGCGATATTGGCACCTGCATAATGGCAGCGCCAGCGACAGCGCGAAGCACCATCCCACCGCTTATCACGAACACATCCACCAGCACGATGTGCTTCAGCGCCAGAGAATACGCCACATTCGCCAGCACATACACCCCTGAGATTACGCCGAACACCGGCTCCAAAGCGAATGCCCCGCCCAATCCTATGACCGCCAGGACGGCGGCGAATGCCCACGCTGCCGTGACAGGCAGGCGTCCTGAAGCGACTGGACGGTGGAGCTTGCGTGGATGCAGGCGGTCGCTCTCGGCGTCCAGAATGTCGTTCACTAGATACACCGCGCCCGTCAGCGCCGAAAATAGCAGGAACGCCAGCGTTGTCACGCCGAATAGACCCAGGACGCCGAAATGTCGGCGGTCGGCGACCACGCCTCGTTTATAGTAAAGAAGAAGGCGAGGTAGATCAGAAGGTTCTTGTACCACTGGCGCGGACGCACGCTGACAAGCAATGCCTTCGCAATGCTCGCTGCGCTCTTCGTTTCTCCTGCTCCGCCTGAAGTGTCCATCTGCCGCTAATGATATGAACTGCCATCGTGAGCGGTCAAGGCATAGAAATTGATCGCACTATGTAGTCGCCCTCTGCCAACTCGTCGTTCCAACGGCAGCAAAGCATGCATCCCTATGGCACTCCGGCTGAGGTGCAGAAAACCAATAGCATATCGGGCAAAATCAGATACACGAGACAGGCCGCAAAGCCCAGCGACACGGAATATGCTCAGCCCGAAAGAATATGTTGACAACACCGCAGCATCTTCGTTATATTTAATTAGCAGACTAATCAGTAGACTGCTAATGCGCCATCGTTTCAGACTGAAAATGTAAGTTGGGTGGCGTATAAGTTTGTAAGGTAAGCAAGAGTTTTATATCAAACAACCTAGGAGGTTAATAGGACAATGGCGACACAAACCCAGACAACATTCAAGCGCATCGGCACACGCGTGGTAAGTCAAGCCCGGGCGACGCTGAGAGCAGATGACCTCAGGCGGCATCTACATACCCGACACACCGCCAAAGAGAAGCCCGGGCAGGAAGGCGAAGTCCGTCGCAATTCGGACCCCGGCAGGCTCGCACTCGACGACGGATAACCGCGTGCCGATGAACTGGCAGTAGGCGATATGTCGTGTATTCCAAGTACGCCGGCACCGAGGACAAGGAGGGCGACGAACGTAGTACCTCGTGCTGCGAGAAAGAAGACGACATTCTGTCAAGAAGTAGTTAAGTCCCTCTCTCACTGGTAGAGGGTTAGGTGTTGGTAAATAAATCACCTGTTAAGCAAGTCCAATACTCACAGAGATAAACAATGCCACAAGCAGCTCACATTCAGGCGGATAGAGGTTGGGATGCGAAAGTTTGTTCGCTTCCGGGGCCGCCATGAAGCGCGTCGGCATCGACCAGATGGCAAACACCGTAGGCGTTACCCTCGGACCGCGTGGCGCAATGTCGTATTCTCGACATAGAAGTTCGGCCCCCCGCAGGTCTGAAGCGACGCGTCGTGTAGTCCAGTGCGTACCATCGCCAAGAGATCGAGCTGGAAGACCAGTCGAGAACATGGGCGCTCAGCTCCTGAAGGAAGATCCGCCAGCCAGACCCACGACGTGGCATGGCGACGGCACCACCACCGCTTACCGTCTCTCGCGCAGGCTAGTATTCACGAAGGCCTTGAAGAATAGCGCCGCGGCGCCAACATGGCTCTTAGAAGATCGCGGCGATCGAGAAGGGCGTAGTCGCTCCGAGGACCAGGTCGGCACAATGTCCACCTCGGTCGAGGGCAGGAAAGAAAAGAATCAGACAAGGAGAGCAGACTTGAAGTATGCGCCAGGTCGCATCACTCTCGCCACGACGACACATGATGGGCGAACTCATCGCGAGACGTGATTGAAAGCGTGTCGCAAGGACGGCGTCATTACCGTGACGAGTCCAAGGGACTCGACTTTGAACAGGATTTCGTCGAGGAATGGAGATTGACAGGGGCTACATCTCCCCTTACTTCATCACCGACCAGGAAAAGATGAGTCCTCCATCGACGACCCATACATCCTCATCACCGACAAAGGTCTCCGCGTCGCCGATGTGCTCCCCGCGCTTGAGAAATCCTCAGGTGAGCAAGAACCTCTTAATTCATCTCCGAGGATTCGATGTGAGGCGCTCGCCACCCCTAGTCGTCAATAGGCTGCGCGGCACGCTAAACTGCCTCGCTGTCAAGGCGCCGGGCTTTCGGTCGACAGGCGGCAAGGCGATGCTGGAGAACATTGGCTATCCTCACGGGCGGTCCAGTCATCAGCAGTAGGTCGGCCGCAAGCTCGACTCTCGTATTGGTTGAAGGACCTCGGCAGGGCGCGCGTGTGGTCGTGCATACCAAAGAATCAACTATTTTCGTGACGCGCGGGAACCGATGACGGCATAACGGGCCCGCATCAACCAGATTAAGGCGCAGATCGACGAGGACCACCTCCGACCTTCGACGAGAGAGCTGCATGAGCGACTTGCCAAGCTCTCTGCGGCCGTCGCCATCATCAAGTTGCGCGGCGACTCGAGGTCGAGCTTCGTGAGAAGAAGCAGCGCGTCGGAGGACGCCGTGTCCCGCCACCCGGGCGGCCGTCGAAGAAGGCATCGTCCCGGCGGCGGATCTGGCGCTGATTCGCGCCCGCGACGCACTCGACACAGCTTGATCTGTCCGGCGACGAGGCAACGGCGTTTCCATCCTCCGCAGGCTCTATGAGCAGCCGCGAAGCTCATCTCCGAGAACACAGGCGTTTCCGGCGAGGCATCGCTCTCAGAGCCTCAGGCGAGAGGGCGACTGGGGCTACGACGCAGAGGTCGGCGCGAGTTCGGCGCACCTGCTCGAGCCGCGCCATTATGGACCGGCCAAGGTCACCCGCGCAGCCATCGAGAACGCTGCCGCGGCGCCTCCATGTGCTCCGGGAAGGAACCACCGAGTCCTGATTACGGAATGTCCCGGTGCCGCAGAGTCCGCCGGGCCCCCCGCGATGCCGTCGATGGCCTATTAGGCCATCGCATAGCACACCCTAAGCAGATAGCGAAGATAAGAATTGAGAAGAACATAGTCGAAGTGCCCCGGACTCAAACATCACGGGGCACTTTTTGTGCGCTTTTTCTGTCATCGAAGGCTTGCGAAATCACCCTTAAATGCAGATTCTGCACTTATGAGCCAAACCCAATGCATAATCCCCGCAAGCAGAAAGTTCGCAATCGAGCTGTGAGAGACGGATGAGGCTCGAGGGAACCGGGTTTTCTCCTTTTTCCTTCTCTCTTTTTCTTAATCTGGGGGGCCCCTGCCATCAGCTCCAGGCCGGTAGTACGGGTAATAGCCACTTGTTCACTCATCTTCCAGGTCAACACCCGCCCGTACCAGCATGCTCGACGGTCTCAGCCGTCTCGAAGACGCTCGTTCTACTAACGCAACCAAGACTCGGCATGGACAGCCTCGCCATCACGCGACCACCGGCGGCATGTAGCGGCGCGATACGACTTCTATCAGATTGCAATAGGACATGGCGTCAAGCATCATCGGCTGCGCGCTGTCACGTCGCCGGACACCGCACACGAGCGCAGCTCTAACAACAAGATCGCCCTACACATGACCGGCTCTCCCACCACGAGCGCGGATACGACACCTTGTCAAGCCCGTCTTCCAAGGCAAACCTCGAGGCGTCTACTACAGAGCCGCGCCTCGACCGCGAGATTCTGCGCAGCACCGCGAAGGCACTGAATTGTGCTGTTCCGCCGTCTGTCCACGGCGGCGAGGGTCGGCCGCGGCGATCCTCATGCAGGGCGACATGGAAAGCGCGCGAACAGAAAACGCACACAAACCACCACACGACCCACGCGCTGGTACAAGGAACTGCTGGACGGTCGCTACTTTCTCGAATTGATGAGCCACGGCGACGTCCCGACCTGCCGCAGACCAATCAGGGCTTGATGGACTGCCACCGTCAGCATCGACATTCACCGTCGTCTGCCACAAGGAAGGAAAAAGAAAAGCAAAAAAGAAAGAGGAAAAGCGCTACCCTCCCCTCCCCTGACACAGAACGCCCACTGCGCTCTGCAGACATCCTGAATCTGCAT